AATATGCTCTGCTTTACATGGCCAGTCAATTACTTTTCAGTTTTTGACCCCACCAGTAAATAAGCATATCAATGCTCTTAAAGATAACATTATCTTTAAAGAAAAGCAACTGAATTATTTGCAAAAGGAGGTATCCTCCTTAGCAATTAATCAAAGATTGGTACAACCCACTGAGCAACAGAAAATTGAGTCAATAAGACAAAATTTTCTAAAGGAAATCTGTAGTGAGATTCCTAATGCTTTTTGGGCCAGAAAGAAGCATATTGTTTCTTTACCCTATGAAAAGGGATTTACCGATCTCATGATTCCTTCTAAAGCTAGTCCCAGCCACATGAAAGCTGACTACTTGGAATTATGCAAAACTGAAATCAGCTCTTTAATGGCAAAGAAGCTTGTCACTGACAGCCACTCCCCATGGAGTTGCAGAGCTTTTTATGTCAATAAAAATGCTGAAAAGGAAAGAGGAATTCCTCGATTGGTTATTGATTATCGACCACTCAATCTTGCTTTGAGCTGGATCCGATATCCAATTCCCAACATCAAAGATCTTTTAGATAGATTACAATCTGCTGTAATATTTTTTAAATTTGATCTTAAGTCTGGATATTACCAGGTACAGATTGCAGAAGAGGACAGATACAAAACAGCCTTTCGTGTACCTTTTGGACAGTATGAATGGACAGTAATGCCATTTGGATTAAAAAATGCCCCTTCAGAATTTCAACATATTTTGAATGACATATTTAATCCTTATACTGAATTTTCTATTGTTTATATTGATGATATTCTCATATTTTCAAAATCAATAGATCAACATTATAAACATATGAAAATTTTCAAAGATGTTATTTACCTAAGTGGTTTAGTAGTTTCTGCTCCTAAACTAAAACTGTTTTTAACTAAAGTCAGATTTCTTGGTCATGAAATTTGTGATGGAAAAATTAGACCTATTGATCGCAGTATTGAGTTTGCTTCTAAATTTCCAGATGAAATTAAGGATAAAACTCAACTTCAGAGATTTCTTGGTAGTTTGAATTATATTCGAAATCACTACACAGGATACAGCAATTTTGTACACCAGGTTAAGGAAATCTCCTTCCCTATGGACTTTGGAACACACCAAGGCTGTCCAGAAGATTAAACTCAGAGCAAAACAAATTCATTGCTTAGCTCTAGCCAATTCTTTATGGTTCAAAATTGTGAAAACAGATGCATCCAATATTGGATATGGTGGTATTCTTAAACAGAAGAATCCAAATACAGGAACAGAGGAGCTTATTCGCTTCACTTCAGGAACTTGGAAAAATGCACAATTAAATTATTCAACCATCAAAAAGGAAATTCTTTCTTTGGTTAAATGCATTTATAAATTTCAAGATGATTTAATCAATCAGAAATTCTTGTTACGCATTGATTGTAGTGCTGCTAAACAAGTACTGGAAAAAGATGTAAAGAATTTAGTTTCCAAACAGATATTTGCTGGTTGGCAAGCTGATTTATCTGCTTTTGATTTTCTATTGAATATATTAAAGGCAGTTCTAATTCTTTACCTGATTTTCTAACTCGTGAATTTTTACAGGGTTCATGAATCAGCCCCCCCATGGGCAGGGCCAGGGTAATACTCCAAAGGCTCGTGGCAAAAACAAGGCTAAGGCCAAAGTGGTTATACCACTAAATGATGATCAATTTCCATATTTGGATCATGTTGCTGATCTGCTCAACATACCTTCTAAAGGCAGCAGCAGTACACAACAGAAACAGCAGAAACCAACCATGAAAGAGGTTCTTGAACAAGAAACTCCATGGATACCTAATCAAAGGTATATTCAGACAGTATTGGTACTGGATTCTCAAGATGAGCAATGGATGCCAGATCCTTGGGAAGTTAAATCCAGATATTTCCAAACACAACAATATGCTACACAGGATGGTCGCCATAGATATATCTATGAAGTCATTCTTACTGAAACTTCCTCTGTGGAAATCAACCACACGAAGCAATTTCCGAATTCCAAAGATAGTCCTCTTACTTATAGTAAAGCTATCTTTAAGAGACTTATAAGGCCTAGTGACTGGGGATTAAATCCTAATTATATGAATATATAAGACATGAATAAAGGCTAGAAATTTGTCATACGTGATCTTTATTCCTTCTTTTTATATACACGGTGGTAGAACTTGTTTCAAAATTATATATATATATATATATATATATATATATATGTTATTAAATTTATTAATTTTTTATTTTGTAACACAAATGACAAGTTTCCTAGTTGGTAAATGGAAGCAATATGCAACCTTGAAATTAATATAGTGAATAATGCTTTAATTGTAATAACTAATTCTAATAACCTAATTCACATAATTCTTCACAACAAGGGCTGCGATGAACAAGAATGATCCTTTCTTAATCAGTTCCAACGACATAGGGGAGTTCTTAATTCTTTTCTCATATGAGTGGCAATTCATAAGTCTATATGATATATATATATATTTTTTGATTGAAAGTTTTCTCATGAAATAGAGTTTTTGAGTTCTTTAAATACTGTTTTTTTTTAAAAAAATTTAGGGGAAATAAATTTTTTTTTATTTCTGAAATGTTTTAAATACTATTTTTAGATAATGAAATCAAAAATGTTCCTATTATGGGATGGAAAGTGGTAACTCATGAAATTATATAAAAATTTAAGGGAATATTTGGTTTGTAACTATGAAAATAGTTTTCTATTATCAAAAAACTAACAACTGTAAAAAAAAACTTTTTTTGTTCAGTTTTATGAAAACTGTTTTTTGAAAACTCAGTTATAAAAATGTCAATTTTCAGAGAATTATAAAACTGCGAACAAATTTCTGTTTTCAAAATTCTTGATAACTGTATTCAGAGTTACAAATTAAGCAGCCCCTAAGCTTTTCAATCATCCCTAATTACTAACTACTTGTAGTTAATCCACTCTCACTATAAGTTTTTGTTAGATTACAAGTGGGACAATTTCATGAAAATGGAGCTTTGGAGGTCAAAGGACAAAATAACGGAGTCAAAATCAAAATTTCCAAATTAATGGAAATTTCTCAAAATTTGACGTGAACATGGAAATTTATTGTACATCATCATATTATTCCTAAAATACCATTCTATTGTTGTTATGAAATTATGTTACTACCCCTCATATCTAGAGAGAGAAACCCATCTATGGCAATCATTCTTCCCAAACGAATAACCAACAAACCTGAGAAATTCATCCAAAACTTCTGGTCATTTGCACTTTTCTAATGATTAAATGAATTTGCTATTTTTTTAAAAAAAAAATAAATAAATAAATAAAATGGGTTTGCTCTGGAGTAGGTCTAGAACAGCTTCTGGAACAATTGAGACTTCTAGTCTTGCGGGCCTTTGGTCACCTCCATGTCGTGCGAGAACCCATTAAAAGTATCCCACTACACTGGAGAGAGGGCCTTTCATCCGAAGAAAAGAAAAAAGCTCGAGGGACAGAACCCTCCATTCAAGCACAGGCATCAAATACAGAGGCAGAAAGAGATCCATAACAACAATATAAGGATATTTTGAAATAAAAAGATGATGTACAATAAATTTTCATGTCCACCCCAGACTTTGAGAAAATTCCATTACTTTAGAAATCTTAATTTTGACTCCATTCTTTTGTCCTGTGACCCACAAAACTCCATTTTTATAGAATTATCCCATTACAAGTTTATCCTTTTATTTATCACATAAGTTTTTTGCATACTACAAATTACCATATATGATTACACCTACTATATTACTATCTATCTATACGGTTCTTATTCATCACTCACCTACCTCCAAATATTCTACTATATATAGGACCTTTATGTAATCTTTATTCGATCCAATACAATATAATATTTTTTCATTCTTTATTTCTAATATGGTATCAGAGCCTTTCGATCTCTGATAAATAATCTACTCCCTCCGTCCCTTTTTATTTGTCCACATCGTATACTGTGACTCACAATTATGTGAGTCACAGTATACGATGTGGACAAATAAAAAGGGAAGGAGGGAGTATCAGTTTATCGTAGTCACCACTGAGGATGGCACCATCAGTCCCATCCTCGGCAGCGATCAACCTTCAAACTTATACTTCCGCACTCCAATCTTCAAACTTACGCAGTTCCACGGCAATAACGACATAATTCTGCCTCGTCAACGCTTCATCCTCACACACGGTCAACGGCAGTGCCAGCATTAGTGCGTCACCTGCCACGACAGTTGCTATGTCAGACACAGCCAGGAACGGTGCAATAGTAGTACCACGTCACTTGCCACGATAGTTGCAGTGTTAGACACAGTCAACAGTGGTGCCAGCCGTAGTGCCACATCACCTATTAACCGTGCCTCCGTGAAAACCCATCTCCACCAAATTTTCGTCAGGTTGCTTTCATGATCTTACCTTCAATATCAAGTTGAGTTCATACTAACCTTGAGTTTGAGGGAGCTGTTAGATTACAAGTTTATCCCTTTATCTATCACCTAAGTTTCTTGCATACTACAAATAACATATATGATTGCAATTACCATATTACTATTTATATATTACTTGTTCATCAGTCACCTATCCCCAAACATTCTCCTGGACCTTTTATGTAATCTTTATTCAATCCAATACAAATATAATATTTTCCCATTCTTTATTTCTAACAGTTTTGAAGCTTAGAATTTCATATTTGAAGAGAGAGAGAGAGAGAGAGAGAGCAGCCTATAATACATCAGAACTGTATTCTAAATAAAACCAGAAAGAAACTAAATTCCAACTATGACGTTCTTCTGGAATCATTACCATTGCCTCATCAACAATGTGTGCGTTTTTTGTCCTAAATGATGTATGTTCTTCACCAATACATTATTGTTCATTATCTATCAATTGTCACTAATCCTTGCAATGTTTTTTGTTTTTTTTTTGACAGTTAGTTTCACTATTAAAACAATGATAACATGCAATTGTTTTAGACTAATATGAACCAATATACTACTTTTACTGATCAAACATATGCAATGTGGCTTCATCACAGATTGCTACAAGGAGTTTTAGTACTACTCTTTTACACATCAAACATATGCAATGTCGCTTTCATTACAGATTGTAACATGGAGTTTTACAGTGGGTATGGATCAAAATCCAGTGTTCATGGCAAAATCCCCTTAGGGATGATAACGTTACCGATGTTGTTGTGCCATGGATCAGCCAAGTGAGAAGCCAAGTTCTCCAATGGTCCTGTCCCAGGATAAGCTGATTGCTGAACGCAGAACCCCACGAAAGCCAACATCGCGAGCCGGCCTGCACGGCATTCAAATTGCAAGCTCATATAATGAGTGTGTGTTTGCTTGAACTTTCAAGAGAGAAAATATATATATATATATATATATATGTCATATGAGACACAAAATAGAAATGTACAAGGCAAAGAGGTAGCTGGTGTGGGGTACTAACCATTCTTGATCTCTTTGACCTTGTATTCCTCAAACTTGACAGGGTCCTTGGAGTAGCCCAATGGGTCGAAGGCTCCACCGGGGTACTTCTTCTTCTCAGTGTCCTTCTCCATGCTTCTCTGGTGTTCTACGAAAGAAATGGCTAGGAATTCGATGACCAGAATGGTGGGGAGGGTGCCCCATGGCACTGGGTTGCCCAAGTAGGTAGCTTGTCCTCCGGGGATTGCTGCCCACTCTTGTGCCTTTACCCAGTTGCCCAGTCCCAGTGCCTCTGGTACTAGGATTCCTGGCTGCAAATATTTATGAAATTGAGCTCATTTCCATTCAACATATGCAATATTGTGATGCATTTTCATGATTAAGCTAGCTTCATATGATCTTACAATGACCTAATTCATGCAAAATTATTCCAACTTCCCAACAAAGTTGTCTTGATTTCAAATTGGCCAATAAGGCTTGTAGTAGAGTCACTCACTGAATTCTGTCCACATACTCATTCAAATTGTCTTCTTTTGTTTCATTTTAAAAAATAATTATCTCATATGATGCACTTCGGGTGAGACTAATTATCTCATATGATTCACTTTGGGTGAGACTAATTGTAGTTGCACATATGTTATTTAACATGTGTGCCTATTGAATTTGAGCTGGTCTCGAAGAGAAGAGAGTCAATTTAGCAACCTCCGTGATCTATCCTACTCGTTGGGATTAAGGGCACTCATTTTTGGACAATCAAAACGCGTCTTTTAAGAGATCAGGATCCTCTAAGCTTACTGTTATCTACGTTAAACGTCTATATTTGTAATGTGTCGCAACACTCAATAATTATAAAAATGCTTGAAACGACCTTAGTTTAGGGAACAGTGTTTCAACGCAACTTAATAAATGTGGTGGATTGTAATTTGTAAGCATGGGTTTTTAAAAATGTCACATGCCTATATTTCAACAATTCAGCTTACGTCCATATTAAATTAATTGTAAAATTTATTAGATACAATCATGATCTAGCAATTTATTATTAAAAAAAGATCAAGGTTTGCTTCAAAAATTATTATCAAGTAACAGGAATTTCAATAATAAAACTTACAACAGCAAGCATCGCCCATCTGCAGTGGTACACTTCAGATTCCTTATATCTCTCTAGGTTTTCCGGGACTGCTCCGAGCCCAAGTGGGTCGAATCCAAAGTCACTGAAAAACAAGCATAACACACATAACAAATTATAGATACTCTTGGGATCGATGACATGATATTAGCAACTGATTAAATACTGACACGGTGGTAAATTAAGTGCGAGTACTAGCTAAAGTGCAGTACTATTGCGTACCCGGGTGCAGAGCCATCGAGGTAGGGTGGCCGGGGCTCACCGGGCATCCAATCGGCTGACATGGTGAACCTTGACGTGGCATTGACGCTAGGCAGTGGCAGCGCCGCCGCGAACTTTGACTTAGACGAGGAAAGGACCGACGGGCAAACCGCGGCGGCGACACCGCAGCTCATCACTGCATTGGCGGCCATTCTCAAAAATTGGGACTTGTATCTGAGAAAGGGTGCAGTGAGAGAGAGGAGAGGAAGGATGAGGAAGTAGAAGGGGACTGGAAGTACCAAGTATATAGAATGGTGGATATAGGCAAATCCAAACGTTGATTGTCATTGGCTAAGGATAGTGGCTTATGCTTTGGTTATTGGGCCACGTGTCACCTGGCAATCCATTAGATGTCTACGTGGAATATCAGGTGGATATAAGTTTATGTTCTTTTGTGTGTGGTGGAGGTTGACCCGGATGCAAAAAAATCTAGGTGGTGTGGAAATAATCTATGTAATAACGTGTTATTGTGTGGAGGCTCATTGAAAGTGAAATCTAAGTAGGATGTGGTTGAGGTTGATTGATTAAATTTTGGGTACATACTAGATTGATCAGTTCCATGACCAATTTATCTGCATCTTTAAAAAATTACATTAAATTTTGTAAAATAACGTTTATTATAAATCACATGTATTTTATTATTATTATTATTGTGTGTGTTATTGGCATTTTACTCCTTATTTATTTATTTTTTATTATTATTATTATTTTATAAGCAAGACATTCATGCAAAACTCTAGAGAGAAATAAATTAGGTGTGCGTCAATGAGTTCGCTCTATGGGTATTTTTCATGCTGTTTTTGCTTTTGTTCGGCTAGATTTGCTAATGTTTGTCTTGTTTCCGACTAGTATGAGTAGATCTGCTATTTTCTCTCTGGTTAGATATCTGATCTATGTCGGTTTTGATTGTTCTCGACTTGATATGATCTTTTCCACTTTTGTGGTTTTTTCCTTGTCTGAGACGTCTTGTGATTGTAATTTTGGAGCTATTGCCTTGATAATAGTCAAGTCTTTGGGTCTCTCCCCTTGTTGCTCTTCTTATGATGGTTTCCATTCTTATAATTTGACTCTTATTCTCAACAAATTTGAAGCATGTTTTTTATTTTTTCTTATTTTGTATGTCGTTATATGGCTTGGCTTTTGCTTTTGTATTGTCATTAATGACTTAATCTTTGTACCTTTGGAATGATAAAAAAAAAACGATAAATAAATAGTAAGACTCTCACCTCATGTACCAAATTTTGTTTGTTGGTAGAAGTTAATAATCCTATAAACTAAAAAGTACGATTTTATTTTATTTTTTTTTATTTTTTATTTTTTTTGTAACTTTCTTTTTAAAATATATGATTGAAAGGATGTTGTAAAGAATCAAATCATGGATTAACAAATCCAGCTGATAAAATATTATTAAGATTATTATTATTTTTTCACTCAAACATCTAGTGAAATTTTAGTTGGGCGAGCGATTGGGCTGGTTTTTATAGTGCCTTTTTTCTTCTTCTGTGATTTGGGTTCTGTTTGATTTTATTTTAATGTTTCTCTTGTTGCCCATTAGGCTTGATGGCCTTTTCCTATATTTGTGTATTGTTCTTCATTAATTTCACATTTGTTTCCCCAAAAAAAAACTAAGGTAAATTACACTGGCCTCCCTTAAGGTTCAATCAAGTTACACTGACCTCCCCTTTTGTTTGACAAATTATACTGACCTCCCTTCAAGTTTAAATCTTCATAACAGAGAGTACCCCTCCATTAACTGCCGTTAAAGAACAATGTCCAATCAATGTTAGTAATTGCTGATGTAAGTTTAAAGTTACTAAAGTTCTTTTTAGTTATTATGAAAACAAATTTGACCTTACTTACTGAAGTAAAATTATTTAAAAACCTTCCGTGGTTGCCATTACATTGGAGCCTTTTGAGCTCTCTGCAATTTACTATAATCCATTGGAGCCACTGGTATAAGCTCTCTCTACTCAACCTTTCAAAAAGAAAAACCTCTCTCAGCTAAGTAATTTTCATTGGATGATTCTTATACCCCACTCTACATAATAAGCAATTGGCTTGGCTTTTCTTTTCTTTTCTTTTCTTTTCTTTTTTCAAACTCACCATTGAGTTACTTCATTCTTCATGTACTCCTTATTATGTAGAGTGGAGTATAAGAATCTTCCAATATCAACGCTATGGGAAAATAAATTTTCTAAGTGTCTTAGTTTTGGACTTCGTATGTAACCAAATGCAATTAGATTAATCATAAATGGAAGGTGGAGAGGATCTACTAAAATCAAACCTCCAATTATAAATAATCCAATTGATTATTTGGTGCGTTTGAGTTTCAACACCAAATTTGGGTTTCTACCATACCCATTTGATCTCTTTCTTACCCTATTTGGATTGCCTTCCTATACCATCGTCTTTGTCACCAATCAAATCCAAATATATACACCAAATCAAACAAATATATCCTCTCTCTCTCTCTATCCTCTCAAATTGTTTCTCATCAAACAAATATATTTAAGTGTATATATATATATATATATATATACACAATAAATATAATGAGGACATATATGTAATTTCACTTGAACAGTTAATATCATCTACTTAACCGCTATAATAGGGAGGTTGGTGTAATTTGACAAATAAGAGGGAAGGTCAGTATAATATTCCAAAAAAACTATGTATTGAAATTTATAATTAATGTAAAATACTTTACATTGAATTATGATTATATTGAAGTGAGTTGGAAGGGTACAAAACTTTTACAAGGATTCATATAACAGCTCTGAATGAATTTAGACATTTTTTTTTTTTTTTTCAACAGTCATGCATTGACCAAATTACCTGTATATACACAATTTTTACATTAAAGAGTAAAATATTCTTATAGGAGTAGTCAACACCTCTGATTTGAAAAAATGCGCAAATTTTGAGATTGAAAATCATGACATATTAAAAGTACGAATGATTTTTGTAGGTTGAAAATGATGTCATAAGAGGTTACTGTTGTAAGTGAGAGCCCAAAGAGAGAATACACTGTTGTAGATGAGATATTGAGAGACAAGAAGCTATTGGAGAACTATATAGCGGGAGAGAACAAGTTGCAGAAAAAAAAAAAAAAAAAAAAAGAAAAAGAAAAGAAAAGAAAAGAAAGAAAAAAAGTGGGTTATATACGGGGACGGATTTCAAGATAGGGGCACCGGTGCAAAATATATATAATATAACAAATATAAAATACAAAAAAATGAAGAAGAAAATTATTCAAAAATGCACATAGAAGAATTTTAAGAAGTAGAAATAGAAAAATATATAGAAAATTTAGGGGGCTATTGTATAATTTTTTTTTAATATATATAGAAAATTTTTAAAAAATTAATACATATATTATAAAGAGTGGGGCCAGGCCAGGGGAACACGTGCCCCTGGCCCTTCATTGGCTTCGTCCGAGATTATATAAGACCGAGTTGATGTGCACTTGACACACTTATCTAAAGTAAATATATATAATAAACACTCCTTGATATTTTTGAGTGGATAGAAGGACGAAACAGACATATTATAATTACTTTAGGTCAGATTCTGCAAAATTGATTTAAGGAGGGTTTTTGTACAAATTTTAAATTACAAAAAATATTTATAGAAGTGATTATTCTCTGAATATATAACAAGGTTATTAAGTGCACTCTAATTTGAATTTCACAAGTTTAACTAAAATGAATTTAAATTATAATTGAATTATTAAAAAATATAGATATCATAAAAATACTGAGAAACAACCAAACAGAGTTAGTGCTTATTATAAGGGTTAATTTCACCAACACCTCCTCACCTTTAACCATATCCCACTTACATCCCATCTAAGTTTCAATATTCCACTTACACTCCCTAACCTTTTGATTTAGGTAGCAAGTTACCCCTCAGTTAACAAACTGACGGTAAGTGCTGATGTCATCAGAAAAAATTCGATAGAAGGTTAACCTTACCCTTTTCCAGTACTTGAAATGACATCTTTAACCTCATTGACTAATAAGGAATTACAAAACTACCCTACCCATAAAAATATTACCCCACCATGTCTGTAGATTAACTGTCATCTCCGCATCATCACATGATGCATACACAGCTTATTGTCACGCCCAGTAACCAAGAGGTTACACCACGCAGGCGTCACGCAGACGCCCAACAGATGATGACATGGAGCCTGCGTGGATCGGAGCTTTCTAGACTTCTCTACACAAGTATGGAACTTTCCGGAATTCTCTAGATTAGTGTGGAGTTGTCTAGCCTTTTTTGGACTTGTCTAGAGTTGTATAGAATTTTCTAAACTTGTCTTGTACATTGTATATAGTTTTAGAATTGTGTAGATAGTTCTTTAGAGGATTCTAGACACTTATTTTAGGCCACACATTTGTACACATCTAGAATGTTCTTGTAAAGGCCTAAGGCATATAACTAGGAGGTGGGAGTTTATTTGCTCCTCACCAAGCAAACAAGTTGTAATCTGCTCTCAAGTAATATAAGTGTTCATACTTTTCGCCAAAACTCTTGTTCACTTGCCTAACTCTCTTCCTACACACACACTTGCAAGCAAAACACTTGTTTAGCCTTAGTCTTCACTAAGCTAGCGCACTCGAGTAGGCTGACTTAACACTTTAAGGGGCTTGAACTTGTCTAAGGCCGTATGTGAGCTTGGAAAGGTCCAAGTCCGTGACATTATGCCCATGAATCCAATATGACCCTACAGCATAAATAGCACAAAATTTGGAAAGAGTCCACCAAATAAAGAACCGAGGTTGCTTGAGACTAGTCGTTTTCAAGGCCTCGCCCACCTTTTGAAGAAATCCCGATGGACACTTTTGGCTGTGATGCGGCCATGGCTGACTCGTTCGAGAATTGGTCCGGCGACCTCTACATATTTCGGCACCTCTTTCATCGTTGCCAACAGCCACCAGATCGAAACAACACCTTCACCTTCGCAATGCCGATCCTTGCTACTCACCGTGGAAATTTAGACCCGTTTCCACCGATTTGATTCTATTGGTGATGAAATCAAGGTTTACTTTTGGGGATTTAATGGGTTGGGTGGATCCCTTTTCTGTTTTCTAAGCAAATTGTATTCCCTTATGAGTCCTATTGTTTTTCCCTTTCATTTTTATTTTTTATTTTTTATTTTTTAACTTTTTATTTATATACATATATATATATATATATATATATATATATATATATATATATATTTTATTTTTTTGTGTCATTGATTTTTTAACTTTAAGAATATGCTTTTTGGTACTTCCAGTCCTTTTAGGGAAATTTCGTTTGGTGTCTACTATGTTTTAGTGGTATATAATCCCAAGTTTCAAATTTTCTACTGGGAAGAGGTACCAAATGCTTTGAATATATGTGGTGAACTCTTGCTTCCCACTGGACCTTTTGGAATATATATTTTGGATGATTCTCTTTTCTCTTCATGCTTGTCTAAAAGGGAATTGTGAAAAGCATACTAATAATGATATATATATATATATATATTTATTTATTTATAGTATATGCTATATAAACCTTTTGCTTCCAAGTTGCTTCTATTTCTAACTGCACGAATCGGGGACTATAGATGGGATGGGGTTGTGTTGCATATGTGTGTGTGTTTTTTTTTTTCGCAGTTGGATTTTGGATGAAATTGGATCTTGGGTCTGCTAGTGTGTTGTTTTCAAAGGGTGATTGTGGATGGTGGCAATGGAGGTTTTGATTGTGGATGGTGGCTTGGTGTTAGACAAGAAGGGTGTTTTTGTCTTTTCGATTCAATTCTAAATTTTCATAAATATTAGTAATATATAATTGATGGGCAAAAGTGTAAAATTACACAATTTCGTTAATAAAGTAAAGGGTAGTCACAATGAAGGAGGTAAGTGGAATTTTGAAACCTAGATAGGGTGTAAGTGAAATATGGTCAAAGTTAAGGAGGGTAGGTAAAATTAACCCTATTATATATAGATATTTTTACAAAAAAAAATATGCATTGAGTTTGTAACGATAAATCATTCTATCTGAAAATTTGATTCAACCCACAAAAGCCCTTACAATAGGAAACATGAACACTCTAAGATAATTTATGAATGTTGTTTTAGGTGCTTCATTGGGATGTAATTGAAAAAGAAAAACAACTTTACAGAGTTATCACATTAACTTTCTTAATAAGCGAAATCTGGCTGCTTAAATGAGACAATCTATTTATAGACATCACCACTTGAGCCCTTACAATAGGAAACATGAACACTGTAAGATAATTTATGAATGTTGTTTAAGGTGCTTCATTTGGCTGTAATTGAAAAAGAAAAACAACTTTACAGAGTTTATCACATTAACTTTCTTAATAAGTGAAATCTGGCTGCTTAAATGAGACAATCTATTTATAGACATCACCACCTTAGTGGACAGACATTATGGGGAAGAATTCACCAAAATATCCCAAATATTTACAACTATTCAAAATTCTCACATATTCTACATTTTTTCTTAATCCTCTACAATTTCTACACAATAATGGAAGATTTTAGATACAATCAATCAACTAAGCAGAGACAACGCTATAACCACATTAGACAATGGACTTTTTTTCTCCTTAATTTTCCCTTTTCAGTTTTTGTACACTAGTATATACTATGCTATATATGTGCATATACAAGAAAATGGTGGCATACCAAAGGCATTATAGGCATTCTACGTATAAGACGTTAATAGGCTTATTTGTGAATCGTGATAGCAGTGATAAACACGAGAAAGCTACTTCCAATTCTATGGCATGCTAATGCTTGATAACATGGAATCCGTGTAAGCGACGTAAAAGAAAAAAACCAACCATGCCCTGGAAGTTATTTTTGATTTACCCGTCCATGCATACGACAAGGAAATTCAATTTAATAAAAGCAATTGCAAGTCCAATATAGACAAGAGTTACAAGAATTTTTATTATATACAACTAAATCAAGGAAAGAAAATTTTCAAAAACATGAATGATTAGGAGAGCGAAGTTTAAAGTACTCATTGTAATATATATATGTGTGTGTGTGTTAAGTTATCAGACCAAATGGGGATAGGGAGTTGAACCAATAATTTTTGACAAAAACAAGAGATATGTGAAATTTAGGAAAGATCGTGTATAATGTGAGACGCCACTAGGGGGTGGTGATGACTAAATATATAGATAGTCATACAAAGAGGTCTTGAAGTCACTTAACCACCAACCATTTGTCAGTCAAAGGCACATCTTTATTAGAGTGGATTATTATTATTATTATTATTATTATTATTTATTTTATTTTTATTTTTATGGAGTTTGAAGCACTCATAAATTTATGTTTTTAATCTTTGAATTGTTATTTATTTATTTATTTAATCCTTTAATTGTTATTAATATTTATTTTCTTATAGGTACGATTATATTTCTACAACCAATCAATGCAGTAAGTAATCAAGAAAATGTCTTATAATTTTTAGCTATTTAATGATCGCATTATGATAATATGCCCAATGGATCACCGGTTCAAGGGTTTGATGTTGCCAAGTGTTTGTTGAATCAGTCCAATCGATTCCCTTCAACTCATGTGAGAGGTTGAAACTCACTATTATTCTGAACATACGTCGTTTTCACACTTTGTATACTTTCACTCCTGTTCTTATTTTATCAACTTAAATTTTACTGATTTCGTGCTACACTAAAACTAATAAAAATGTTTCTCCACTGCAAGTTTCTTCCACTACTTACGGGACAATCTTCCAAATCATCTCTAGTAACTACACTGTAATCACTTCAGAGGCAATTTGAGTGAGCCCTACCAAATATAATAGTACAACATATTAATGCAACACCTAAAAAAAATGTAAAATGCAATTATGAATAAAAAAAATGTAAAATTCCCATAACTCAAATGCCATTGAAGTTCCTCTAGTTGAGCAATTTAGGATTTTAATTTAAATTCAGTCGGATAACTTGAATAATAATTAAATATTTAATGTATAAAAGTGTTAATTATGAACAGAGATCCTATTCCACATGTACAACAACGAAGCATTGTGATTGTGTGTTTCAGATCACAGTCCTCCAATATTGTACTGTGGAGTACTTGGTAAAAATTTGAGTCGTCCACCGTTCGATCAAGAGTGTGAGCTCATCATATCCGTCTCAATGAAAAAAAATGCAAGCTCATCTTAAAAAAAAGGCTAAACGCGCACTCATATAATTTTTCCCTTTATTATAAATTAAAGCGAAAGTCGGTGTGATATTGATCCTCTCAGTGCTCTACAGTTATGCGGAAATTACTAGAGCCACAAACACGCACTGTATGAGAGAAACACACACAGTGCACGCTACTCCTATGCCCACCATTCGTTCTCTCTCCTCCTCACTACCCCAACCAATTACCAATCCAGTAACCAAACCGATCAACCAACAACCGGCATGGTTAACATCCATTAAAGTACTCTCTCTCTAGGCTCCAATGGCCATCGCAGTGACTTCTTCACCACCAACGCCTATGTCCGTACTCTGCATCACTCGCTTGTCTTCGACGACGATGATGAAGAGTAACCCTAAACAGAATCAAGGTCGTGGTGTGGGAAACTTTGGGCATTTCGTTCAGGTCGTGCGCAACGACGTGAAGTATCTGAAGAACCGAATGAGTGAAGGCATCAACTGGGCCAACGAAACTCTTCGTCTTCCTCAGCTCTCCAGAACCGTAGACGACATTCTATGGCTTCGGAACCTCGAAGACCCTCTTGCCTCTTCCTTACCGACTTCTTCTTGGCCTCAACCTCATTATCCAGGTTAAATTTCATCTCTCTGTATGTACATATATATTGTATTTATATGTATATACTGAATTTTGCCCGTTTGAGTCTATTTATATAATACATGTATCATGTTTTTCAATGTGTTTGGACTTTGAAGACAGTTTGGAAAACGTGTAGAAGTTGAATGAATTTAATTTATTTCCCTTCCAATTGATATAGTTATAGTACATTTGACGCTCGCTAAGAATTAAGATGCTCATAGAATTCATAGATCTCTGAATAATGGCTGACTGTTTTTAGAATTATATATATATATTTTTAATAAACTGGGCCAGTGTGCTATTCTTGGAATCAGATCCTTGTTGGGCGAAGCTATAAGATATTAAATCGTGGTAAAAACCTTAGCTTGGGGTGAAAAACTTAGCTTGTGTTGGTAGACGATAAAAATTTGATGGATTTTCAAAGTTCTGTAAGAAATTTATTTATCTATCTACAGAAAGTCCTGGACCACTATACGTTGAAGCATGGAAAGATTATAAAAACATTAATTGATTTGTGTATTTGGCATAAGTGGCAGTCGGTGCCACACCACTGTTGTGGAAGTTTATCTTAGGGAGTATATGGTCGTATACTGAAACGTTCAATGCTGATGGACTGAGTGAGTTCAGGTTCAAGGGTGCTGTAATGTAATCCCAAAGCTCTAGCAAATATCAGTGTAAGATACCCGTAGAATGTATGCGTTGTCTTATTTTTTATTTTTTTTCCTTGTCCCAATAATGTATTTGTGAACACAGCAGAGGTCATCTGTCTACATCAACTTGTATTCCACTGAATGGTTCTCAAGCTGAGATTTGAACATTTTAAGGATTCATTTCTATTTATTTGTTTTTTACTGCTAAGCTGAAGACTGTCCTCTCTGGATTAACATGCATAAATAGATAGTCGTCTGCATGTTCCATCAGATTGAAGTATATATTTAGAATTTTCTCTTCCATCTGCCTGTATTATGTTTTTATTTATAAATATATTTACAGAGCTGATCGTAATTGAGTAAAAAGTGGTGTTCAGATTTGGTGGATAATCGGCATATAAACTTTAGATAATCTTTAATGAACTTGTTTACTGTGAGTTTGCAAGCACAGAATAGCAAAAAATTCTGTTGCCAACCCAAAGTGGTTGATATGGGGCTTTATGCTCTCTGTGTGTGTGTTTTGTGTTCTTGCTCATGCATGCCATTCAGACCAAATCATAATTTGCTTAGTTTTTCTGTAGCTTGTATTAATGTTGGATCATGACATGTTACAGAATTTTCTGGTGTGGATTTGTTCGTGGCTGATCTCAGGGCCTTGGAGGCATATGCTAACTATTTCTACTATTTGTCAAAAAAGTGGACTAAACCACTTCCAGAGGGCTATGATCCACAAGAAGTTGCTGACTATTTCAGCCGTAGGCCTCATGTAGTTGTCCTTCGACTTCTTGAGGTAGATGAATGATTTGATATTTTACCAATAAAATTTTCTTGATTTTCCTCTTCACTTGATTAGGTGCGAATTTGTGTAGTTGCAACTTTGCTTGTCACCGTTTTGAGTGAGGATTTATCTTGGACCAAATTGGCCTAGGTACTTAATGACACTGTTAATAGTTGTTTGGATAGTTCACTGGAAGAATAGGGCCATTTGACACAATTTTCATAAATGAGTTCTCTGGAATGCATTTTCTAAAAGTCATAAAAGGCCAGTAATCATTTTGGCTTTTGTTGGTAAAGGGTGTGGCCTCCCTTAGTCTGCACTTGCATTCTCAAGCTTGGCAACCTGAGTTTTAAGCAATGCACCAATCAATGGCCTCCAAAATGAGTTTCCTAGAATAGTGAAAAATTGAGAACACAATTTTTCACTCATTTTATTTTTTATTACTGAAACCAAAAAGTTGTAGATAGCAAACATCCTGATTTCAAGAAAATTTGCCCCTTCAACTCAATTTTTTAGTAAGAATTGTCAAGAATAGTGAACCAAACAATTTTTCGATATGTTTTATGCTATTTTGAACCCTCAGAACAAAATCTGCTTTAAAGCTGTGTCAAACCTGCCAATATTTTCTTACTTACTAGAAAGAAAAAGAAGGCCAATATTTTTGACTTTTTCATTAACAGATATGTTTAGTGAAACATGAAGCAAGTTATCAACTCATTGCATGCTTTAATTGGCCTCCAGAAATAGATATTTTTATAGTTTCCTTTCTTTTTCCCCTCAAAAGAACTTAAACAGCCCAAATATTACCATGTTTCTTCCTGTTATATCATATTGGGTTGGAAACCTAACTGAACACTAGTACAAGGGTCTGTCACTGGAAGTTTTTTCTTCCGAAGCTTTTGCTGTATACATGGAGAGGTAATTGAGTGTGCTTTCCAAGTTAGATTCTGTCATCTACCTCCACAGACAGCGCGTATGGAGTTCTTCTAGCTGGTAGCAGTGTTGATTCTCCCACTTTGGATGGTGTGGAGAAATTCTTTTTTCTTATTCTATGCCTAAATGGAACTGTTTTCTTTCTTCTTTATTTCTTTTTTTATTTTTATTTTTATTTTTATTTTTTATTTTTTTTAACTGAAGTATAAATAAATAAATGGAACTGTTTTCTTATCAGCAATTAAGTTAACATGTTTTCTTATATTATTAAAATGGAATGAGAGGCCTGATAAAAGTTTATGTTAAATTTCTGTATTTTAGCATGTGATACAACCTATTTGATGGAGGTAGACCTTATGCTTTGTGCGATGTGTTGTGAAAAGTTAAGGTTGATCATTCTTCAGGTCCATCATATTATCAGTATGAGCAAGCTGCGAGTGGGCTATATTATTACAAGTGTGTCCTTATTTGTTTGTTGATATTTTGCTTTTGGAAGGTGTTTTCCTCCTTTGCTTCTGCTGCAATTAGAATCCGAGTCTCAGGAATCAGAAAGTTATATAGGTCAAGTGTGGATAAGGATATTGAGAACAGCATTTTGCAATACAATTTTGGTGTGGTGCTGAAGGAAACCATGCTAAAACTGGGTCCCACTTTTATTAAAGGTAAGGAATGCAATTAATTGAAATCTAGCCAAGACACTAAGTTCCAGTGTTTTTGCTACTTCCAGTTGACCTTTTTTTTGCTTCAAGTATTATCCTTTAAATTATATGTATAAGGCTATATTTATTTATAAATAAAATGGGGCCTTTAATCATTTTCCTGCGGTCAAAAAGATTACCAATATTCTAGTTACATGCCTTTGCTTTCTGATGCAGTTGGTCAATCCCTTTCCACAAGGCCGGATATTATTGGTTCTGAAATTTCAAAGGTAGATGAAATACCCCTCTCTCTCTCTCTCTCTCTCTCTCTCTCTCTCTCACGCGTTCGCGCACACACATTAGTGTACCTTCTGCCAGAATCATCTAGTGTTTATCAAAATTCATCTCTATGTGCATCTTCTTTATTACATAGGTATTTTGACCACAAGATAATACCTATGATCAATGCCTGAGTTTCAATGTGCTTGTCTTTCTCTTCATTTGTCATTTATATTCGTTCAAATATAGTTATGGTAGTATGCATCTATCATTTTCTAATAAATATTTATTATCTGGTTGTACAATGATGAGCAAATATCTATGAATATTATTTATTAATGTAAGAATGAGTTGTTGGGTTTTGTCATACCTGTTTGACACGGATACTTACAAGGTACTGGTACTGTACTTTTGCATTACATTCAGTGTTTATGCGGGAATGTGATTGTTTGTTGTATAGTATTGATAATAGTTGTCTGTTCATGTTCGGAAACGTTTCATCGATACAAAAGTTTGTTGTACATCTCATTTTTCCTGAAATTTGGCAAATCTTTTGTATAGTCGTGCATTACATTCTTTGCAATTAAACTGCAATTTTAAATGTTATTTGTCGTACGTATTGGTGGTTGTTGTTGTCTCAAAGCCGATGTAGCATGATGGTAAAAGTGTTGAACGGTGGTAGAGGCTGGGTTCAGTGTTCAATTCTTAATGTTCTCAATCAAAGCAAATTACTGGTGGATTGTATTTATTTTTCATTTTTGGTCTTTAGTTATGATTGCAGGCTTTGTCTGAGCTGCATGATCAAATCCCTCCTTTTCCCAGGATGTTGGCTATGAAGATCATCAAGGAAGAATTAGGTTCTCCTGTGGAAACATTCTTTAGATACATATCCGAGGAACCTGTAGCTGCAGCTTCATTTGGTCAGGTGGTCTTATATATGTGAAAGTATAATATGTTTCTCACAATATTGGTATATGGATTTACTTTAGGCACATTCTGATATGGAATTTGTTTTTCGTATATATATATATATATGCATGTATATATTTACTTTTCATTTTGTTGCACACATTTTTAGGTGTATAAAGGAATTACCGTTGATGGTTTCAATGTTGCTGTAAAAGTTCAACGCCCTAATTTGCGTCATGTGGTAGTTCGAGATATTTATATTATTCGCCTTGCGGTTTGTATCAACCTCTACCTTCTCTATATCTTACACTACTAATCATCAAATTTTGAAGTAACATAATCAACTGTTTCAGCTGGGGTTAGTGCAAAAAATTGCAAAAAGGAAAAGTGATCCCCGCCTTTATGCTGATGAGCTTGGGAAGGGCTTAGTTGGGGAGTTGGATTACAGCCTGGAGGCTGAACATGCTATGGAGTTTATGGTACTTTTTCTGGGTTTTGTTTCTTTCTTTTCTTTTCTCACCCCCCCTCCCCTGCGCCCCCTCTATCTCTCTTCTCTAGTGGGGTTTTACTGCTATTTCTTATGGTTTTATTTTTTAAGGGTTATCACAAAGGTCTCAAACTTCCACTTCATACTACAGTTTCAATAAAAGGGTCTGACTGGTCAAATTTTTATTGTGATGTTATATTTGATAAGATCTGCTATTAGAAGTTAGTTGTCCATTATAATCATTTGCATCATGTATAAATGTTTCAAGCGAGCAACGTGGACATGGTCACGGACTCATGTCATCATTTTTTTGTGGAAGTCGAATTTGGAGGTTCTTGTCATGGGACTCTGAGAGCAGCTGCATTCTATTGCCTAATCACATTCCAGGATTAAATGCAATGGCTTCTCACTATCTGTATTTGTCTCTACAGGAAGCTCATTCCACCTATTCGTTTATCAGTGTTCCAAAAGTATTTCAGCATTTGAGTCGAAAGAGAGTTCTAACTATGGAGTGGATGCATGGTGAAAATCCAAGTGATTTACTCTCCATATCCACTAAAGAGTCGATTAAAAATGGTTCTAGATATTCAGCAAGGCAGCAAAGTGATGCTAAAAGACGTCTTCTTGATCTGGTGCGTAATATTGAGTTACATCATTACCCTCTTTCCATTCCTAGTTGAAAAATCCTCATTAAGCCCTGGAATGATGTGTAACAGGACATTATTGTGGTGCTTGAACATCAATTTAGATTTTGATCAGGTTAACAATTTAAGATCCCTTAGATTGGTATAATATGGTTAGTTGAGGCTATTCTAGGAGAAGGGAGGGCAAAGAAGAGCAATGGGATTGTGGTGGTAGGAAAAGATGTTCTATGTTTAAATTTACAAAAGATGTGGCCTAGGCCCAAATTGTTGAATAAGTTTATGTTGAGTTGAATTATATTTATCTAGTAGTGGGAATGTGGCTCTCTTTATGGGGAATGCACTGTTTCAAATACTTCACTTCTTGATCTAACCCAAATTTTAAATCCAACTTTTTAGTTACATATTTTTGTGCCTTAACTATAGGTTAACAAAGGAGTGGAGGCAACTTTAGTTCAGCTCCTTGAAACTGGCTTATTGCATGCTGATCCACATCCTGGAAACTTGCGTTACACATCAACAGGACAACTGGGGTACATCTTCTCACCCCCCCCCCCGGTTTCGTATGTTAAAGTTGTCTACAATTTTATCGTTTGATTTCATCAAGGATGTTCATGGCTCTTTAATCATCTCTTGTGGTAATTGTGTGCTAGGTTTCTGGATTTTGGTTTACTTTGTCGAATGGAAAAGAAGCATCAATTTGCCATGCTTGCATCCATAGTGCACATAGTAAATGGGGATTGGGCGTCCCTCGTTCATGCTCTGACTGAGATGGATGTTGTGATACCAGGAACTAATATCCGGCATGTTACCATGGTAATTATCTACATCAATTGTTACCTTTTTTGTATTTACTTGTGTAACTTTCATGATATTCCTCTTTACGTAGCGGATTTGGGTGAGGGAACATGAATTTATAGTCTACAATTGTTTTAGTATAATATGCTTATGAGAATTATATGTAAAGTATATTTCAGCTTCTCTCAAACTACATCCTTTTGAACGCCCAATGGTACAACTAATTTTTTTAGTAGGTTGTACAACTGACTTTTTAGTTGTGATAAATGATTCAGGACTTGGAAGATGCCTTGGGAGAAGTGGAGTTTAAAGAAGGAATACCTGATGTCAAGTTCAGTAGGGTGAGAATCATGCCTTTATTGTGCTTGTTACTATTGTTGTGCCATATTATGTGAATTGGAGGCAATACTCTATGTTGACCAAGATTTTAATGCTTTTTGCATCCAGCTAATATCATATTTGATATATATTACCGAAAATGATATTCATAGTAGCCATACTTATCCAAAAAAAAGAAGAAAGAAATTGATATTCTTAATAGCCATGAAAATTTAGGGTTTAATGCATTGTTTGGGGTTCAGATTCCCTATTTTGATGCTTCAATATTGGTGTCATCTTGGAACAATGTCCACCTTAAATTACCGCTGTAGAAAATAATGGTCTTTATTATTTATTCTTCATGATGGCAGTAAAAATCCTTGAGAACTTTAAGAACTATGATGCACTAATTCTGACAATCTGGTTGGGAGGACAATTTTCCAAGGGATGGCCTACAATCTCAAACTTTCATCTTTCTTATGTTTTTGGTCATCGATGTCAATGCAAATTACTGACTCTTAGTCTTAGCGATGGGCTTGTTAAAGCACACATCAATTAGCAGAATCTAACATCAACAAAGCTTTCTGACAATCACATGAAGCAGCTTCTTCTGAGTATTTATTCTTATTCTTATTATTTTTACTTTTTTCTTCCGATTACATTTGTTCCGGTAGGAAATGTTTTGTGCCATACCTATCTCAAGTAAATATGATTTTCATATGCAAGTGGGTGTGTGTGTGTGTGTGTGTGTGTGTGTGTTTAATTTAATTGAATAAGAATTATAATAGCTGATAAGTGTCACAGTAAAATGTACTTGGAGATAACTGCACTCTTAAAGCATTTTCTTTCTGAATTGTTTTAAGGAACTATTAGAGAAATACGGTATAGAGTTAACTTATCGTCCGTTCTAGTGTTATACATACCATTCGTCTTGATACTCTATTTATGTAAGTACCTGGCTGATTGATGCAATACCTATTTCTGAAGGTTCTGGGTAAAATATGGTCTGTCGCCTTCAAGTATCATTTCCGAATGCCACCATACTATACGCTAGTCCTACGTTCAATCGCTTCCTTTGAAGGTAAGAGTATCAAGTACCGCATTCTTCGGTTTTCAAAGTTATAATGCATATAGGAATCCAAATTTCTGTGTACTTATTCATGCATCTTTGTCTTGCAATATGAATTTTAGGATAGATTTCTCTTGTAAAACCATAAAGGTCATTATTTGATGTTATTTCCCGTTAATCGAGAGTTTTGGGCCTGATGGATGCTGTACGAAATGAGTAGCCTTAGAACTTGATCCAATATTCTCATACAACTTGAGGTTTTATCATTGCACTTAACAATGGCTTCTTCTTTCTAAAATGATATATGATTGAAAATTCTTACACATTGATAAAGACAAAAAGTATATATCAAGCTTGTTTACTGAATTGTTTACTATTATTACTTGTCATATGCATAAATAGTTGGAACTGCCATCTGGGGTTTTCCTAGCTGAACTGAACTGGTGGTAGGATATGACATGGAAAAAAATTTTGGCAATAAAAATGTTAGATTTGGCGAGGATAAGATAAGCATATACACAAGCTGTAGCCATGAGATGACCAATCAGTATTTGTTGGGTAGTTCACTTCACCCAATGTAACACACTCTTTCGTAAGTAGATAAAGAAGGTGAACTTTTTAAAAACTTCTTGTTTTCCTTTTTAATTAAATAAGGATTGAAAGAAAAGAAATGGAGTGGCTAAAATGTTTCTTTCCAGGCCCAAAAATCTATCACTTCATGGGATGATTTGGAATGTGGAGAGAAATACATCATTTGGGCAAAAATTAAAGGCACATAATGAAAATGAAATTGTTAGCCCCATCATTTTTCTTATTTCCATTTTCTCCACTTCTTCTGTCTAACTAATTTGATGAAATGTGTAAAACTTTACATTCTCTATTTCATATCTTTCACTGAATTAACAAACCCAACCGTGTATGAGAACTTCTGTTCTTTCTTCCTTTTCTTTATTTCACTTTTTGACTGTTAAGACATTAAGGAGATGAAATGAACAGTCAGTGTAATAATCAGTGGCTACCTACCAAAAAGTAAAAAATAAATAAGTGCAACAAGGAGTGCTTTGAAAGCATTTGGCATACTCATAATAAATTTTTTGCTTAAACATATTCATTATTCATACTCATAATAAATTTTTAGCTTAAACATATTCAGTATTTATCACATTATACAAATGGTTATGCAACACACTCAGTTTTTTTTACTGTTGTGTCATCTTCTCTGCCGGAATTTTTAATTGAAATAACTTTTCTTTCTCACTAAAGAGTGATTTACTAGCTAAAACTTGTAAGACAATAAGATAGAGAAGGTGTTCTCCAAAACTAGAGTCATGGGTGGGAAAGTCAATTGAACTTAGTGGAGAGGTATACTAATTGCAATGGCTAGGTGACGTTCATTTCTTTTTTGAAAGGTTTTTGCCATTAATAGTATGATTCGAAGCTAGAATATAACTGTATCATAATGTTGGCTAGGACTGCAAATGAACTGAACAACGGTAAATTTGGGTTGGTTCATCAAATTTGAAGGCATGTCCCAGCTCAATTTATTTCTTCAACTTTTCTGTTTCGTTATATGTATATTCTGTTCCATTGTAATCCTTTCATGTTCAGTTCTAATAATTATCTCTTGGTCAACTTACATTCATAATTTTTTTTTCTCAGGATTGGCAATAACTATTGATCCAAATTTTAAGACTTTTGAGGCTGCATACCCTTATGTTGTACATAAACTTCTCACTGATAATTCAGCTGCCACAAGGAAAATATTATATTCGGTATTCAATGCTTTATTTGCTGAACTGCATTACTACTTTTTAGTTTTTACTGGTTTTTACCATGTTATTCTCCTAAATCTGTTCGTTAACCTTTATAGTGACTGAATTTTATCAAATATTATTGGTAATGTTAGAAATTGAAGATCTTGAATATGATCTCTAAACTAATAGTTTAAACTACTGGGATATAGGTGCTCTGTATCAGAAATCGGAACCATGCATGTGACAAGTCCACGCAATACATTTACCTCAATTTGTCCCTGCTTTATTTGCTGAACTGCATTACTACTTTTTAGTTTTTACTGGTTTTTACCATGTTATTCTCCTAAATCTGTTCGTTAACCTTTATAGTGACTGAATTTTATCAAATATTATTGGTAATGTTAGAAATTGAAGATCTTGAATATGATCTCTAAACTAATAGTTTAAACTACTGGGATATAGGTGCTCTGTATCAGAAATCGGAACCATGCATGTGACAAGTCCACGCAATACATTTACCTCAATTTGTCCCTGCTTAAAAATCACCACCACTGTTTTATCCATATGGTTGGAGAGTAGGCGTATAAATTTTTAATGAAGTAGAAGAAAACTATAATTACTGAGGATGATTTCAATCCAATTCCTGACTTTTACATGAGATCTGCATCCTGATATACTTTTATACTCAAATTCCCATTTCTGTTTACTATACTGGAACTCAATTCTTTGCTGTTAACTGCTAAATTGTTAGGAAGATTTTATTCATTTTATTGGCATCTTGTGTTTGCTTACTCTATATGTTTTTGTCAGGTTGTATTAAACAGAAGGAGAGAGTTTCAATGGCAAAAGCTTGCTCTTTTCTTAAAAGTAGGGACAACAAGGTATATTGATCTAGCATTGCTCACTTGTTGAATCTCAAGTAGGGAAGCTTATGTCTCTTTTATATGCATCTTTGTATCTAGAAGTCTAGTGGGTGTAATCTTCTTATGTTGAGTTTCCAGTTCACTTGATGATTTAATATTGTCACTTGAAGTCCTACTTGACACTCCTATCTCATGTATATCAACCCAATTAGAGGATTTTTCTTTCTTCTTCTTCAAAATACCTTATTCAATATATCTAGAGGGGCAACATAAATCTCATTGATTCGAACATACTATAAGCCATATTTTCAATTAGAGCACAACATGTTAATATATTAGTATGATTTTGGTTCATCTAACTTCTATAACTTTTAGCCTTCAACTCCCCATTCAGTTAATGTGCTCTTACAGTTTATTAGTGGAAGCCCGTTTATATCGTGTTAGTTACTGTCTGATTATTTTAGTTTTGCTGTCTAACATCCTTCCTCGTTCTTCCCAAAACCCATTGAATTAAATTTCAAGGAACCTTCTCATTTTGTTTTGTTTTTTCCCGTTTCCTTTTATGAACATTTCCATCAATCATAAGGAGTATAGTTTCAGAAGTTACCTCTCTTTAATGAACCCAAATTACTTGTTTGGCATTATAGTATTAGTTTGGGAATAGCGTTATTACTGTCTCCGTTAATGCAATGGCATGATCATTGTGTAGGATCCGTTGCAATTATACAGTTTCAAAGTCTTCTTTATTCTTCTATATTTGCACTGTAATGCTCTCGCATATATTCTTCCATCATTGATCATATCTTCATTAGCTTGTTCCAATTTTTGTTGCACTTCCATATACTTACCCAACTCAAGTCAATAAAGTCTTGTTCCAGTTATTTGGGATCAGATAACTGAATTTTGTTCTTCAATTATGGCCATAATTTAATGGCCCAATTTTGACTTAGATATTTTCATGATTCATGTTATAAGGGGTCTAATAAAAGATTTTATGCTGGTTAGAAGTTACCTAACATCATGATCCTCTGTTTCAATACCAATGTGACATAGTTGACGTTCTCTTTTTTTGGTATTTCTATAAAAAAATTATGTTTTGCACTTCAGGATCACTCGGTCAAGTTCTGGGCATTTTTCATTTGTTATCATCGAAAAAGATAATTTTGCTAAACAAATGCATGCGCTTTGTCTGTATACTTTTCCTGGCCAAAAGCCACAGAATAATGCTTAATGATTTTGTTTTAACATCCCCTCCAGTTTATTTGTCTCTCCATCCTTTCCTAGGCACTGTGTTTAATTTTCATGTTTGTAAATTTGTTCCTTATGATACTTTGTTTGAGTTAACTTTTTGCCTTGCTTTGAATAGCACTTATTGTCTTACTTCCCATGACATGCTAATGACCAAATTATAGGAATCAAAAGAACCCATCTTCTGTGCAAGCGTAAGGTTAAACCTTGGCTTTTCCTTTCTGTTATCTAAGTTAACAAATGATGCAATTATGAATTCAATTTTAAAAATATATATGGCGTTAGAGAATAGCAAAAGACCAACTAAAGAAAAAACTTTCGTTGATGGAGCTATCAGCGTTAGTTGCTTAAGTTATTTTTTCTGATGCATTATAGATGTTTGCAATTTTTTCCTCACCATTAGTATTTAATCTTGGATTTCTCTTCAGGAAAAGGTTGCATCCAATGTTAGCATCAAACACTGAAACTTCTCTTGATTATTCACCAAGTGGAGCCACTGGTGTATTTGACATTGCCAACCTGGTCCTGATGCTTTTACCATCTAAAGATGGTGGTGTGTTGAGAAGACTCCTAGTGACTGCGGTGAGTTTCTTCAGCTGGACCTTTTTACTCCTTTTTTACAAGTACTACTATTATTGTTGTTAATCCTATCGGGCTAGAATGATGTTAAGAGCTGTTGCTTAGTACAATGGTAGACATTAAAACTGTCAAAGTATGAGAACAGAGTTTGATTTTGAGAGCTGCCATTTTGTTCAAAGATAAACACAAAATTTGGTTTGTAACCAATCCACTGCTCCCAGCACCCTGCATAAGCAGGAGTGTGGAACTAACATTGATAATGGCCTTTTTGAGTCCTGGAGGTACTATTCTGACTAGTAAAGTAGCATTTGTATCTGCTTTGTGGTAGCTTACCAATTATCTCATGGTTATTCTATGAAACTAAAGTCAAATGAAGACGAGTTTGCCATTTAGAAGAATATTCTGAGTAGGCAATAGGTTTTCCCAATTTTCTCTCATTCTATAATTTATAATAGAGGTGGTTGTGCAAAAAGATTATTTTTGTTTTTTTAACAGTTTGGAGAATGGAAACCGACCTTTCTTTCACTTAATGCTATACTCCTTACATCACTTGATCTTTCTCCTTACCCATTTAATATTTCTATTAACCAGATACCACTTCTATGAATGATTGGATCCTGGGACTTATAGTTACCCCTATCCTCTCCACCCCACTTTATCTACAATTCTACATTACTCATATGCCCCTAATTACTAATTTAATTAACCCGGAATTGAAGATGCTTATTGAAAAAGGAAAAAAGATTAAGTAATTTATTTTTTTTATGTTTGTTAATGATTGTGAAAACTTGATGACTGAACTGCCGGAGAGCTTTCCTTTTAGTCGTATAGATGGTCAACTGGATATTTTCATTATTTCGCCCAAGGAAAATGTATATCTATCAGGCACACAATTATCTTGCTTTTGTAGAAAATAGGTATCTTTGCAAATTCTTGTGTGTTGAGTGTGAAAGCGCACTAACATAAAGATCACACAGGAGAACAATATTTAATGTGGTTTTGCAAACATGCGTATGTCTTTGGATTATTTTTCTCATTTATCTTATGCTCATAAACGGAAATTTAAAGAAAAAATCAATTTTCTATTTAGAGAGTCCTAGCTTTAGTTTCTTGTTAGACTATTTGAGACTTAAGATTCTTTTTACCCAAGAGATTCCAGACAAGAACTCTTATAAACAAAATAAAAGCCTTAACATAGAAACTCAATCAAAATAAGAAATTGAGACATGTCAACATTATGTCATCTGGACATATTGTTGCAGTTTCTTAAGCATTTCTTCATCCCTATGATTGGTAGATGGGTGGTGAAGGGGCAGGAAACGATACAGCTTATTATATTAACTAAACAACCAAGGAGGACCTCCTTAGTTCGCTTTCCTGATATTTGTTTTCTGTTTTCAGAGAGAGAGAGAATAACAGAATTCAGTACAAGTATTTGTTTGGTTGAAAATTATATGAAAAATGAATCCAAAAAAGGCCTTTTTTCAGTCTATCATTTATAATTCTCTGAAAAAGGATTTCTGCTTTCAGAAAATTGAACCAAACATTCCCCAATCTTTCATATTTTTTGTGTTCAGAACTTGAACCTGAGTATGCATTTTGATGAACAGGATGGAGCTTCAATAGTTCGAGCAATGGTTTCCAAGGAGGCGGTTCACTTCCGCCAACAACTTTGCAGGATAATTGCAGACATAATGTATCAATGGATGTTTGAAGCCCACGGAGGAGGTGCTACAACAACTCAGTATAGTTCCCAAGTGAGATTGGCAACTGGGGACAACCTCCTAGATCCTTTTCCATCCTCCAGATTAGCCACACCCAATTATGATTATCAGTCCATCCTGAAAGATCGGCGGCTCAAAGTGATATTCTTCAAGATACTAGACTCTGCAAGGAAAGATCCCGCATTGATGCTGAGGTTCTACTGGGCTTCCTTTGTTATGTTTCTCAAAGCTTCGGCTTTGGCTTGTCATCGGGTGTTAGTTTCCTTCTCCGAAACTTTACTGGGGCCTGTATCATTTGTTCCCAAGCAATTTGCAGTTGCTGCGTCGTAGTCTTTTCATTTGATTTCCACGAATGCCCTTTTGTAGACAAGTTGTACCGTAATTCTACGAAGGTCGAAAGTCGAGAATGGCTAACCTTGGGAAAGACGGCTGGCACCTGCTTCGTGGTGTTTTTATTCATTTTCCACGAATGCCTTCTAGGAGACTAGTTGTGAGGTAATTCTATGAAGTAAATTCGAGAATAGCTAACCTTGGGAAAGATGGCTGAGATAAAGATTGGTGACCTTGATTGATTTGGATTACATAGTCTAAAAATTGTGTTAATATCACCTCAGTAATTGCGCAAACAGTGGTTTAGGTGTTGGCAAGTTGTGAGTAATTAAGGATGGATGTAGGATCAGCACTTCTAAGCAATGTAAATTGTGATTGTGTATGCATTATGAGATATGTAGGGTAAAAAATTATGGAATGAATTGCCGAGCCTTGCTTATATATATCAATTGATTATCATATAGCATGGCGTGTAAGAATAAAATAAATTGTGTATAACAAAATATTATAACGTCATTGTCACTTTTGGAGGCCTAGGAACATTATAGGTGAATTAGTTAATTGTTCTATTTCAAGTTAGAGTTGCTTCCGCTTTCAACAAGGCTGAAGATAGGACAGCCCTTGAAATGTGTGCTCTTAAATACTTCATGCTGAAGGTAGTCTTATTTCATTTTCATGTAGGCTCGGTTTGTTTGGATGTAAAACATTTATAAGAAAATATATATATATATATATATTTATTTATTTTTTGGTGTTTGGTTGTAGTAAAATATTTACGAAGAAAAATATATTAAAACTTGACAAAAATAACTCACCCATCAATTTAATGCCCACCTGACAGACTTGACCTAGACTTTTGTTAAACACCGAAAAATAAAGAAAATAAAAATATTTTATCTCCGAAGAAGATAAAAATATTTTATCTGAAAAAAGGAATATTTTCGGAAGAGATATTTTGCGTGGAAACAAATGCATCCTTAGTTTTAAAATTTTAATGTATAAATAAAAAATTAGAAAAGGTTTTTCAAGGTATACATTTGAGTGTGATGACCAAATTCTAACAATAAAAGTTGCAGTAATCCATATCTGCAGTTGAATTTTCTCGGCTCTGATAAGATTGGGCAACCTCTAATTGTGTTGCTTGGACAGTTGGACAAGCAGGTAAGGGCTAAAGTTTTTTAAAAAAAATATCAAAAGACTCCAAGGGAACTATTTCATCACTATTCTGGACCGGAAAATTTTAAACTAGATTATTTCCTCATGAAAATTGAACCTTTTCTTATACTAAATGTTTGCATATTTATGCCTTTTATCATTTTACAGTTTATAGACAAACATTATAGGAAGATGATATAAATGTAAATGTCCGTCGGGTTTTATGTCGATTAATGTGACAATTACTGAATGCCGATAAACTTTTTGTATCATTACTTAATATTTTAACGTGCTTAAATAAATTTAATGGGATACATTCAAACATTTTAAAGATGAAACTGAAAACGTACTATATTCATTAAGTGATTTGCATTTAAACTTTTTAAAGTTATTCATTTATTATTATTATTATTATTATTATTATTTTTGCATGAAATCGATTTAACGAAAAAAAATCCCAATTAAAAATATTTTGCTCTAGAATTATTAGATACGACTTTTGCAAGTTTATGTGTTTAAGATGTTTATACTTTTTTTTTTTTTTTCTTCGTAAGTTGAATTTTGTATGAAAATGATGGAAGTGGGATATTTATTTATTTATTATTATTAATTTTTTTCGTATTCTTGGTATCTTCAAATATACTTCAAAATCCGCCCTTTTTTGTATTTCCAAGGTCAAACACACACAACTATGTCTATAATATAGGAGGAAGTTAAAAATTAATTATCCAATTTAAGAACAGTACCTTGCTAACTTGAAAGTTGGGAATTTAAAATATTTTAACAGTACCTTGCTAACTTGAAAATTAGGAATTTAAAATATTTTATTTTTTTATTTTTTAGTGTTTGGTTGTCGTAAAATATTTATAAAGAAAAAAAAAATTAAAATTTAATAAAAATAATTTATCCATAAATTTTCAACAAATTATTTTACATGTCTGTTCGATGGACTCGATCTCAACTTCGACTAGGAATGGCAACGGGGCGGGTTTGGAGCGGGTTTCCCTAAATCCCACCCTGCCCTTTTTAATTTTTGTCAAGTTCATACCCGCCCCGAGACCCTCGACGGGTTGGATTTTCATGTCCAGCCCCGCGCCCGTTGGGAAATACTGTGCTACCATGCCCGCCTTGCTAACAAATTTTTTCTCCCAATTTTTGAAACTTAAGCTCCTGTTATTTGAATATGAAAAGCCTGGGAATGGCACAATATAAATGAAATTATGTATCCCAACAAAAATAAAAAAATAACATGCACATAACATAATTCGGATAACATAATAAACAAAAATAAAAATTTAATACAATCAAACCACAAGAAGTTCTAAGCTCCAACTTCCACCATAACCAAAACAAAAGTAAATTTAATACCAAGTTTATATATATATATAATATAATTATATACGCGGGGCGGGGCCCCTAGGATATGTATACTGAACCCCTACCCGCCCCGTGACCCGCGGTGGGTACAAAATTTATATCCATATCCGCCCCATATCCATTATTAATGGGGCGGGGCGGTAAAAATTGACATTCCTAACATCGACGTAAACTTTTGTCAAACAACCACAAAGTAAAAATAAAAGAATATTTACCTGAAAAAAATATTTTCAAAAAAAAAAATTTACATCGAAAAAACGAACCTATTTTAATTATTTGCACGACTCCTTTTAAGTACTTTACAAAGTTTATTGTTTTTCTTAATATATATATATACATATATATATATATATATATAAAGATAGACAAATAAAATAAATAAATGACTTAGGGTTATGAGTTAATCAACCCTCTCGGATAACGCTTTGATTTACATTTCTTATACAATCTACTATTTATATTCCTCTTAAGTCCTTTCTTGAGAGCTCGCGCAAAAACCGAAAGTAAAACTCCTCAGATCACAAGTACAGTCGCTGAAAATCCACCAAATCAACCACTGTTGGAAACCTCCGGTCATGAGTACTCCGGCGCTTTCAGGAGTGCGTTCCACCCTCTCTCTCTATATATATATACATATATGCACATATATATGTATATGTGTATGTATATTTATAGATACACAGTAATGAATTCTATGTATATATATGCTATGAAACACCGCTAGATCTGAAAATTCTTTGAATTTTTCGGATCTCATTTTTCTCCTCTCAAGATTTCTGTAAAACGTAATTCAACGATGTTCAACGCAAAATGTGAAGATCTTCAAATCTCGAGCACAAACTCAACCTCTTTGAGTCGCAATGCACACCTTGACCTATTTATTGCACAAATTGTTCTTGATTTTGTTGTTTTTCTTTCTCTCTATCTATCTTGATTGATTGATTTATAGCGTTGAATTTGCAGGGCGCGGGCTTCTTTACTGGATTTACTCGGCTGTGCAAAGGCTTTGCTGTGTTACTCCTCGGTGGACACATTGTAGTTCAGATCTTGCCTTCCGCTGTTGATTACCTTGCTCTCATTCCCGCGAAGTAACTTCACTTTCTTTAAATATAGTTTCTAGATTTATGTATTTTGAAATATGAAAATACGATTCAGTCACTATACAGATTATATATTCTTTGATCAACAACACGACTTAAACCCTTAATTTCACTCCTTCCTTTAGCATGCCATACCAGCACCTTAACCGCCATGTTACAACAGCTTTGCCCGTTAGTTATTTACAAATATAGTTTTAATTTCAAGGTCAATTTAGGAAAAAAGGCGCAAGACACTGCAACTATTGAACATTCTGTCTTGATAAACAAAAATGAGAAGTGAAAACCTTGCAGTAGATTATTTTGAAACATATGACACTCACATGAATTTATAACTTTTTTTTTTTTGTTAATGTCAAAATCCTCATGCTTGTTTTAAGTACAAATTCATGCCTTACTTATTCAGACGCAACTACAAGAACAAAAGCAAGAGTCAAAAAATGTATTGTCTTGCTTAATTAGTACCCACATTTGTTCTCACCATCCTCAATTGCCTTTTGAATTGCCTGCATTGAATGGCAACCTGCATCAGTTGAATTATACATGAAAACTTGATTCACATACTAAATATCGTCTTCCTTTACTGGTTGCATTGTAAAGGAAATAATTGGGGCAACATAAACAACAAATCATAAGTATTAGATGTGCCCCAAAAAACAAGTGTATGGTCAAGCAATGAGTGGTGGCCAACCATGATCGTTTAGTGCCTCCATTCACCATACAAAGTGCATTTCTCCATTAGTGGAGAGTTAATTTACTGCCATTGGAAAGGAAAAGCTCTGGGTCTAAATGCTTTAAATCACTGGACTGCGGTGCAATATTAAGCCAGGATCTTATTGTATCATTTAGGAGTTGTTTCTAATATTTCTCTTGGATTAATAGCTTTCATTAAGTCTGCTTGAGAATTTAGTTGGCCAGCTCGTCTTAAAGAAGTTCAAAAATTAGTCTAACTAGCAATACCATTGTGTAGATAATTATTAAAACCACATTCGTGATTGACCCATTTAATGGTCAGCTCACGGATCAAATGGTACGGCCTCATGTTCACTTCACTGACCCATCCAATTTTTGAAATGGTTAAAAAGTTCCAAAATAATACAAATAAGTGGTGATAACTTAGTGGCTAATGTTAAGTAGTATCAACTGTCAAGTGAGAGTGATAGGTTTCAATTTCCATAAAGTTATATACCCATGCCTTTGACTATGTTTTTGAAATATACTGTCAAGCCCTGTTCAACTTCTTGACCGGTCAAATTGCTAGTTGAACCACTTGGTCTGGTTCAGTTCTAATACAATGCTTCTGACTTCTATGAAGTGAAACACTTACACCTTACTGTAAGCTGTTGGAAGGCAATACTCTATCAAGGGACGTCTATCCTTCTCCTAATGATGGGGTAAATAGGACCATTTGACACAAAAGGCGGCCCTTATTTCTTGAAGTCTTCCTTTTGATCACATTCTCCACCTCCTCTCCGGCCTAAGATTTTTTGAGGCATTCCAAGCAAGGTGGTAACTAAGTCTAAATCCTACTACTGAAGAACTCTCTTGAATCTTGGGCCCCAGACAACAACATCCTCTAAGAAAGAGAAACTGTGAGCAAGCCATCCTTATCCATCAAGAGAAAAAAGAGGTCAGGAGAACTTTCTTTTAAAGCCACTTGCCCACATTACTTGTCACGTGAAAATCTAATCCCATTGCCATTGTCCACTCAAAACTGTATGAGCTCAGATTACTCTCCTAACCTTTCATGATGCACTTCAGTAAACCTATTTCGTAAGATATACCTCCCTTGACGCCCAATCTCCCAAGAACTATCATGCTTCTATCCACCAGCTTCACCATATATACTTGGTTAATTCTTATGGACCTTTAGAATCATACTACTTGGTTTATTTTATTATTATTATAAACCTTTAAAATCATCTTTTCTTGATCTTTCTTTCTTTATTACAATGAATTGTTTGGTATCATTTTGATGATCTTATACTCATGTTAGTATTTGCATCCCCTTTTTGCACCAGCCTCGTTTGGTGTGGATGGATATAAAACCTCACACATATTTAATTATCATATAAAACCTCACACATATTTAATTATCAAGTGTTAGGAATATTTGTACACATAGCCATGTTTCTATTTATGTTTCAAAAATTTCCATGTGTTTCCTAACTTTTTTGCTTTTCTGTTGTATTTTCAAATGCTTCAGTTTCCAAGCTGAAGTAAATTTTGATCCTTTCTTGTTCCTTACCAGAAATCATTTTTCTAAAGTAGGGGGGAGTAAAAAAGAAAGTTATTGAGTCATTGTCTCTTCATTTAACCTTTGATTTTATTCACGCAAAGTACCCTCAACTTCAACCCATATTTTATAACTGAAAGTTCGTGCTTTTACCATTACATTAAGGTGCTATTTGATAACCCAATTCAACACTTAATTCGGAATGGAGTAAATGGTTATCCAATTAAGTGTGTTTGATAACTCAATCTGAATATCACTTGAAAAAAAAGCGCCACTTAAAATGGGGTAAGTCACTGAATGCTGAACAATAAAAATTCAAAAAAGTATTTAAATAATTTTCAATTTACAATTACCAATTAAAACTTCTGAACTTAAAATTCAGCAACTAAAATTTTATGTTTTATCAAACAACAGCTAAGTAATGGCCACTTCAATAAGAGATCCTATTGTTGTTTATTTATCATTATTTTTTATTCTTTTCATTTATCTGGATGCTAATGTAGAAGTTCCATTTGACAGACCTGAAATTAGTCAATTTATTTGCTAATTACCATGAATGTGGCAAGTGACAGCCATATAATTGGGTTGCCCAATTCTATTCTCAATTCTAATCATTTTTAGGTTTACCAGGTTGTCAAACAATGAATTAATTTTTGTTAAACTGGTAGCTTAAATATGAAGATATTTCAACGTTTCATTACGGCCTTAGGGTGTACCAAGCTAATTACCACAATTGGCATGTAGAAAAAATTATAATCTTTAAATAAATTCACTTAATATTGACATTTAGATCAGGTTGGAAAGACTTTTTTATTCAAGATCTTTTAACTCCCCTGATTATTCTAATAATTTAATGTCTTAATTCTTATTATGCATCCATATTCCATTGCGTGCTTGTCCTGCCTTTTTGTTTCCTTAACCTGAAATTCTTATTTTATACAATCGATGTAAATTTGCAAATTTAATTGACTCCACCCTGCTGTTCTCAGTTTATGCATGACATCATGCTTTTCTCATTTTATAGCACATATAAGATGTTTTAAAGAAACACCATTTTACTAAATTTGGATGTTTTATCTTATTTTCTTTAAACTTAGATGAAGCTCATGACAGTTGAAATTAGCCTTTGAAGTTTGTTTTGCCGCTGAGTTCTCAAGTTGTGTAGAACCTCTAGTTGGGCACCTTTAATTTGTTTAAGGTGGTGTGATTCACTATTCTGCAGTTTTTGGCACACCGCTCAATATATATGATTCATTTAGTTTGTTCTTTTTTAACTGGAAAAATGGCAAACATCATCAAGCATCATGGTGTTCCAAAATATAGTAGCCATCCAAAGAGAGTTGTCTAGAATTTGTCGTTGGCCAGATCCACTACTATACCAATCCAGACCTTGGGGATTTGTCTCCATTCAATGGTTTGCTGCAAATAATGAAGACTGACTACCTTTTTAATTTCGATAAGCTCCTTTATCTTTTTCTTTTTTCTTGTTGAAATAGAAATGAGTGTGCTTACATTGAATTAGCTGCTAGTTTTCCATAGAAGTTGTTTCTCCCCCCATAGCAAATTAAAATTTTTTGGCATCACTTTAGGCTTATTAAAATAAAAACAAATTACATTAACTGCATATGCCCTACCAAGATACAAGTTTGAGCAGACATACTTTCGAAAACTGTTCATACTTTGATCAGAGTCTGATGGCGGTTGGGCAAGTATGGCCCTATCGTCTAGTGGTTCAGGACATCTCTCTTTCAAGGAGGCAGCGGGGATTTGACTTCCCCTGGGGGTAGGGTGTAGGGTACTATGAAAGGAAATTGATCATGGATTATCAATAAGCCTCAAATTGATTCTTCCTGGGTCGATGCCCAAGCGGTTAATGGGGACGGACTGTAAATTCGTTGGCAATATGTCTACGCTGGTTCAAATCCAGCTCGGCCCAATAATTTGCCAATCTACCATGAACTGGTATAACTCCCATGTCCTTCAGAAATATCTGATACGGAGGAATGAAAAAGAATTGCATTTTCTGCTATATCCCCTAATTCCCTGGAATTGTAGTTCAATTGGTCAGAGCATTCAGTGCTGGTTAGTTATGCGCTACTGAGGAATGGTGTCTCCCCATTTTTTGTTTGGTTGAATGGAATGGATAGTAGAAAGGATGGATGGAGTGACACTTTTTTTTTTTTTTTGGTTGGAAGGAAGGGAAAGGGAGTTTTTATATTCTTTTTACCAATACACCTTCATTATATAAAATTATAAAAAGGTCATATCCATATCGATTTTTTGGAAAGGTTAAAATTATAAATTTTATATTTGTAGATAGTTTTCTTTCTCTCCTCTCTTCCCCCTAAAATTGGGCGGATAGAAAAACATAAAGGAAGGAGGGATGCTTCATCCCTCCTTGCTTCCTCCCTCCCTCTCTTCCCTTCCCTCCAACCAAACACGAAAAGGTTCATCCATCTCCCCCTTTCCCCTCCTCTCTCCCTCCTCAATCCTTCCCTCCAACCAAACATAGCATTAGGGATTAGTCTGACCCAAAATGGGTTGTAAACACTTTGAGATAACAAATAAAGATGTAAATTTGTGTGTGCGCGCGTGCGCATGTGGTTGAATACATGGACTCAAAATTGGTTTTAAAACACTTTGAGATAACAAATATAGATTTAAATGTGTCTGAGAATGTGATTGAATACATGGATGTGGTAGAGTTCAATTTGCCTTCTCTCTTCCCAAAAGAACGGCACCCCTTCCCCAGTAGCAAGATAAAGGGATGGGAACACCAAGCTTGGTGTTCCAAAGGTGCAAGCCTTGCTTTAATAAGATAGAATCTTCCTTCCTAACTAAATCTTAATTTGCAGGACAATTCCTTTCGCTTGGAATCTCATTACAGCCGGTTACATTGAACAATCAGTATATGGGGTATGTAGTCTTAATCTTATTGCTGTAAACTTGAGCAATGCAGCTGTGGATCAATCATTTCTAGTTCCCTGCAAACTGTCCTGCTCCTTTACATTCTCTATAATGCAGTTTTGACTGTCACATTTGTTTCCAGGTGGTCATTAGCACAGTTGGTCTCCTTTTTATTGGGAAGCTGCTTGAACCTATATGGGGATCTAGGGAGTTTTTCAAATTCATCTTTATAGTTAACCTTTTAACTTCTGCATGCATCTTCATCACAGCTATTTCCTTGTACTACATAACAAGGCGGGAAACGTACCTGTAAGTTATTTGGAAAACTCTCAATTCCAGAAATATAGTTCACTTTCTCCTGCTTGCTCCGTTTCTTGCTTTTCTGTATGTTTATTTTTTGTTTTTGGAGTCCGCCCCTCCCTACAAAAAGATAAAAAAAAGTTCCTCTCTCTCCTTTTGGCCTATGGAAACAAAATGATGCTTTTTCACAGAATCTGACCCACGCTGTTATGCTTTCATATACCCATCTTCAAATTTCCTCATTTTCAGCAATTGGTTCTGTTTTTGCTCCTTTGAGACATGTAATTGTAGCTGATTTTTGCACCTTTTACATCCACTTTCCTCCCTGTCAGATAGGAAGGTCAATCTTTGTAAATTATGATTTTCTCTTCTTTTTGTAGTTATATGCCTCTTTCTGGCTTCCACGGGGTCCTTTCGGGATTCTTAGTTGGTATCAAGCAACTCATACCTGACCAAGAGCTGCCTTTATTAAGAATAAAGGCAAAGGTATGGATTTTTTCCAAACTATCCATTAGATTCAGATGCGATCATATTTATTAAAAAAAAAAGATTCAGATGTGATCATTCCTTTTGAGAACATTTCATTTAATACTCAGTGGTATTCATATCTCCCCTTACACCTCTTTTTGGTGCTGTTTCTGGCTTTGTGCAGTGGTTGCCCCCTCTGGCACTGTTGCCCTCTATTGGTATAAGCTTCTTTGTAACAGAGTCTACTAAATACCTTCCCACCATGATATTTGGCACGTATGTGAGCTGGATCTACCTCAGATACTTACAAAGGAATCCAGAAACAAAACTTAGGGGTGATCCAAGTGATGAATTTGCATTCTCTACATTCTTCCCTGAATTTTTAAGGTAGTTTGACGTTCTTTACTATTTTTGCTCGCAAACTAACAATTTACGAGTTTTTCTATAGCTCTCTCTCTCTCTCTCTCCCTCACAGTGTTTTTGGTTGAATGGCATGCAGACCAGTAATTGATCCCATTGCTTCAATATTTGATCGGATGTTCTGTGGAAGATCGGAGTCTTCTGAGGCAAGAGGTTATACCTTAGGAACTACCTCCTTACCTGGTTCTGACACCATCGAGGCATCTAGGAGGAGGTAATCTTACTAATATCATACTGCCATATTATGCAAGATCTATATGATGTCTTTTAAAATCTATACTGAACGGGTCAATGGTAAAAAAAGCAAATCCATTTCAGATTTTATGCACTAATTTCAACTGCTTTGAGAAAAATATAAAAATAAGTAAAAGAAAAAAAAATTAAGATAATGTGTTATTCAAGTTAAATTGGAAGGTAATGTGTCCTTAGCCTTTTTTTTTTAAAAAATAAATAAATAAAAAAAATTTGTCAAAAGTTTGTATATCTATATAAATACTTGGCTAAATAAATTATTGTGTTGATAGAATTACGAGGGTATGGACACTTGCATGACAAACATAAGGGGGATGCATAAATTAATGACGACACATTAATTATGCTTAGCCAAAAAGGAGGGAGCCTGCTATAAAATAGTACTCCCTCTGTCCCATTTTAGTTGTCAATCTTTGGTTTTCTAACTTTTTAAGGGGACATGCCATTAATGCATTGTCCCCTTTTCAAATTACTAAGTTGTGATTCTAAACTTTAAATGTATAAAACACAAGTTGAAAGATTCTTGAAAAGTTAGAAGGGTAATTATGGAAATATTACATTTAATTTGTTTGACTTTTCAAAATTGAAAACTAATTTGGGACACCTAAAATGGAAAAATTGACAACTAATATGGGGACAGAGGGAGTAATGCAGTAAACCCAAGAGCGGCATTGACACGACTGTTTGTAACTATAATGCTTTGTTTATATACATTTATTGACTAAGACAATTATTGAACTTGAATAATTTTTAATTTCTTTAGTAGGAGTTGCGTAATTTAGAAGATCAAACTCTGATCAAATTGTAGTTATTGTCTTATATATATGTTTTTTTTCTCCCACCTTGTCCTTACAATTATATATTTTTCCTATATGAAAAAAGTATTGCATGCTTGACTTGTGGTAACCATGTGTGTAATGTCAAATTTTTTTTTTTTTTCAAGTAGAAAATATTGAGTATTTTGACATGCGTTCGTTTGTTTCCAAGATTGTCAGATGTAACATCTCTTAGAAGTGTTTGTTAGATAAGACGTGTTGCAGAGTATCTAAAAATGTCAGTCAAGTGTCCAAAATAATGAAATTTATTATTTAAACATGGATACTTCTATGAAGTATCGGACATGTGTCCAAGAATGTCCGTGAAGTATCGGTGACCAACATGGACACGACACCTTCATAGGAGTGTCTATGCACATTAAAACCAGCAGTGAAGGTACAACATGAATAATAATGATAATTCTAATATTTATCGCAATAACCAGTCTGTTACTTGGGGTAGAAATCTATGGTTAGTGATCACCCTGCCCCTTCACTTACTGAATTGCAGAGAAAGGGGTGCTCGAGCACTGGAAGAAAGATTAGCTGCTGAGAGGTTGGCTGCCGGAGGGAAGTCAGAAGAATCACAAACAGATGCCGCAGAGAATGTTTGAGAGCCTCCTAAACCCAAGTTTTTAATCCATACAACCAATGAGAATGCGTGTGTACACGAGTTGGCAACTCTAGAGTTTGTGCAGTATTTGCTATGGATCTTTTTTTCTGGATTCTGTGAGACAATTTTGTTGTGTTCTGGTCCAGAATATGATAGTCATGGTACAAAGTATTGTTGTAGCTGACCTGCACTTTTAGTGATTTATACTTGTCCTTGTTCAAGATACATGAATTTTTACAGAAATGTGTCCCAAATGTTCGTTTTTTCGACTCACGATAGAGAGAATTATTTCTCTTCAACTGTTTGGTGTGAATTTACCATTTTCGTCAGAAAGCCGGGCATAGCAAACTACTGCTCGTTATGAAAATATTTTCTGCAACATGGAGTGTCTGTAGATAATGTTTTTGTACCATATTTTGAGTGCCTCTACTCAGCCATAAATTATAATGTGGTCCCCGGCCAATCACTAGCTGGTATGCAAACAAATGTGTAAGCTTTATTCAACTTTTTGCTTGCATATGGTCGGGACCATGTAATAATATCTGTGTCTTATACGAGGCTGGTTTTGATATAGCCTTGGCATTTAGAGAACCTCTGGGCTACCATCCTTTCCGGTTGGAGTGGGTTCTGACTTCTTAATAGAGCCTCTGTTTTGGTGTATTGTCATTCCTGTATTCATGGCATTTTCCTTCCTCTTTTTTTTTTTTTTTTTAAAAAAAAAAAAAAAACTTCATTACAGGAGTCGAACACAAGACATCACACCTAGCCTGCACCCTCTAAAGCCCAATGTTGCCTTAATCCAGTACTCGGGCACTGTTTGGTTAAATTTTCTAAAAACATTTGTCAAAAATAGAAAACTAAAAACAAATATTTTTTTAACGAGTTTTCATAAAATAATTTTCAAATATTGAATTCTAAACCAAGCAGGTCCTCTCAGGCTTTCGCTCTTAAAAGTGTATAAGATGCAACAAGAAACTATATGTTTGTATAAGGGGAAAAAAATAAAAATTTTGAATTATTAGGTGTTCTAAAATGCTCAAAGAAAAAATAAAAATAACTCTCAGATGCATGTTACTTCACGTTGTCAATGATTAAAACTACAAATGTCGGATGTTCATCAGAATCTTCACTTATTATATAGTGATAACAAATTTTTTTTTTTTTTAATTTATTCCACCATCCAAGCTTTTTCCAGTGGAATATTATTATATAATAATGATAACACTTTTCCCAATAGAATAACATTGTTTTCTTGCTTTATCCTTTTCATTCCGGAGGGAATAGAACCTAAAACTGCCAAACAGGTGGTAGGTATGCCAAAGCACATGAAAGAATAAAAAGAAAAAGGAAAAGGGAAAAAGAGACACCCAAACACGCATGAAGGATAGAAAGGGCAAGGACATGGAAATAATAGTTTTAATTTCCTTTCCTTTCCTTCATGGAAAGGGAATTTCATTGTGCTATTACGTACAAGTTATGTGATTGCTTGTAGGCTTGTAGCAATCAGATAAGGGTTTTCTCCACTTGGCCCACTTTTTGCGTTTCAGACTTTTTGGGCTTTTTGCTTTGTCTTCGGTTTTGCGCGGTCAAACGGGTACTGCCACTATGTCCACATGTTTTCCACTCCTTTTCGAATATGCTCCTGTCTTTTTTATGCAGTAATACCCCATATTAAAACACGATTTGAATTTTTTATTTTTATTATTATTATTTTTTTCGGCGCGATCTAGTTGATAAAGAGTCCAACATCTTAAGTGGATGTGTTCATCAAGCAAACTCAAAAAATTATATGCAATAATAATATATACATTTTTATAATTTCAGGAGACAATAGTAATATTTTATAGATATATAATTGAAAAAAATAAATTAATAAAGATGTATTACTAAAGAAAATAAAATTCATGGAATAATTCGTCAAAAAGAAAAGACACAATTTGTTTTTCAATCAATATATAATTGAAAATCGAATATACGTGAACGAAGGATGGTGTTATAATAACATCTCACTTATATAAATTATAGAATTTGTTAGATTTTTGAATTACTTATATATTTTTTAGTTTAAGTAATTTTTTTACTGTTTAAAAAAGAAGATTGAAGATTCAACTACTCATTAGAATAAATTATTTATAAGTATAAAAATTGTAGATTTATGTTTACTAAACAGTAACAAATTATATCCCATTAAATGAATTTTAAATCTCCAATTGTAGATATGATCAGGCATATTTTCCTTGAAATCTTTATAAAATTAAAATTTTACCCATTGGTGTATTTACAATTTTACATGTATCTTTCCATGTAATTAAATATTCTTACCAAAATTTTTATGCAGAAAAGAAGTCCCGATCTCTTATGTAGTTAAACTAGGCTAGTTTTGAATTTTTAACATAATCTCAATTAGGAGGGTTAGACTTGGTAGAAAATTTGTTAATAACACACATATGTTGTTATTATCATTAATTTTGGATAAATAACACTCTATTCTTTATTTTTATTTTGAGTATATAACTCTAAAAAAAGTTGTATATATAAATTTTATGTCAACATCATGTACGATGTTAAATTCCAATAATACCCTTCTTTTGTTGGGTCACGCACTTTCCATTGTCCTTCTTCAAAATCAAACTCTATAAATTTGTCCCTTCAGGAAGAAAAATCTCTCTCTCTCTCCCCTCCATTTCTTCCGCAAAAACAACGCCGACAACGAAACCCATACTCCCCTCCCCCCCCCCCCGAATCTTTTCTTCTCTTCGAAAGCCACCTGTGATTCCATTTCTCGACGTCTGATCCTTTGACCCACCGGCGTCAACGCTCGATCAACGTCCACGGTACAGTTTTCCGGTCAAATTATCATGAATTATTTAATCGATCATTAATTGATGTTCATTTCCTATATATATATATATATATATTTGTGTTCATGCAATTTTTTGATTTGTCAATTTAATCGGCTTTATTGTTTAATATTTCATTTTCTTCAAGTTACGGTTACTTTTGTTAAAGTAATGCTTCCGTTTTTCTTGTCTTCGTTTTGTTATTTGGTGGATTGATTCTGTTTATCGAGTAAGTGATCTACGTAGACAACAAGGTTTTTGTACAATCACGACGATTGATCGCGAGTTGCTTTTGATTTTTACTGGGATATTTGGGCTAGTTATTTTGCATTTCGGAGCGGTAATCGGAAATTTAAATTATTGATCAGAGGCAAAAACAACTGCTCTTGAATTGTCCTGTGGCCATACAACAGTTACTTGTTCGGTGTGAAATGGGCTTTTAACCCATTTTGTGGTTTATTTGTATTTATATGTTGATATCATTAATACACGTTAATGGTGCCTGCTCACAAAAAAAATACATGCTTCTATGTTGTGGATTTTCCCTTTTAATTTTTTTTTTTATTTTTATATATTTTTTTTGCATTTTTTTATCAGTTGCTTATTTATGGGGATTTTTTTTAGTAATTTGAGTTGTATAATAAAGGCTTTAGATGCTTGCAAAATTGGTGAACTAAAATCTCTATACATATATATATATATATATATATATTATGTAATTCATATTTATACACACTGTTTTATCAATTTTCTATTTTTGTGAATTAACTTTTGTTAAATATTTATTTTGGTTGCTCATGATTTTTTATCAATTTTTTGCCATCTTATTACCTACCTGCACGCCAATATATATATATATATATATATATATATATTTATATTATTGTTATGAATGTATATTTGTACAACTGTTACATTTACAGTTTCTGGGTTGCATTTGGGTTCATCAGAAACAAAGAAGGCCGGGGATGGCCCACTATGGGTGTTATCTAAAGGTAACAAACTTATGGGACCATGGTGGTACAATTGCGGAGCTCTCTTCTCCTACCACCCACTGTTCTACTTGTGTAGCAGCCTTTGAACCCTCGTTTTGCTTATTGCAATAACTCTTGATATCATCAGTTTAACTCCTGGATATCATGAAATTCGTTGTTTCAGTGTGTTAACATCATTTGTGATAGTAGGCGCCTGTTTGTCTGCAGTGGATCTGTTCATGGAAATGGACTCATAAAGAAACTTTGTATGCACTATACAGGCAAAGCAATTGATTTCTGTTGTTCATCTGATCAGCTGTAATCATTTTTTTCATATACAATTTTAATACTGATTTAACTTCTGCCTCTCTTTCCTTCTCTTCCACTCATATGATGAGTTTAATTAGCAAGTTCGAATCGTAGTCAGCCTCAAAATAATTATTGAAGGAACATGAAGATTGCAACTTCTATGGGTAACATTTATTAGATAAGTATTCTGCGATTAACTTATACTGCTTCTATCATAGCTCATTTTTCGTACTGTTCTCCATTCACAACCTATTCCATATCCAAAGCAAAAGTATAAAATCCTGACTTGTTTGCTATTATTGTCTTAATTGATTTATTTCCGATGTAGTCACAGATTAATGTTCATTGCAGTTCCCATAGACATCAAATTTTAGGTTACTTCTAGCGCTTTATGAAGTTAGGAAAGGAAAAGAAAAGAGAAAGCAATTGGCATATCAAATGAAAACAATGGGATTGAGGAACAAAATCAGAAAATAAGGTGAGTATAAGAAATTTGAGGTAGCCGCTCTGCCTGAGAATATGCATTATTTCTCGGACTTAGCTTAATTGTTGTTATCATTGTCATGATTCTCTTTGAACACCTATAAGAAAGATTTTGTGAGTCGACTGCAGTGTACTGTTAGTTGAGTTTGAGCCCAAGCTGTTAAATCGAGTCAATTTTTATATGAACCAGCCTTCCAAGTATGCAGAGGTTTAAAAAATGCCAAGAACCCATTTCGTATATTGTTTAACTGCTTTGACGAATTCATGATATTCTTTGCAATTTGCATAAGTGGGAAGTTTTTCATGCCTCCAGTTTGGGTCCTCACATCTCTTGATTTTTGACTTATCCCATAATTATGTACTTGTTGCATCTCATTCAGAAATGCCTCAACTCTGGTTCAAGACGGGTAGAATTGCATTTATGCAATGGACAAATCCATTATTATCTGCAGATTTTCACACACGTGGAGAATTGTGATGATCCTGAGAAACTAGGTATTCATAAAATCTCTTTTGACAGATAAAAAAAGAAAGATGCTACAAGGTGTATAAAGCAACATTTGCCTCAAAATAATCTCCTCTCTCTGCGACTTTGAATACACCACCCTTTTTTTTTTTTTTTTTTCTGTTATGAATAGACTCAAATACTTTAGGAAGTGAAAACTGTTTTTTGGTTACAAAATTAGTATATGCTATCCGTATTTTCTGAGAAGCTTTTTTAGAAGTTAAATGTAATTTTGAAGTTACAAAGTAAGCTCTGGTATAATATTTTTTGAGAAGCTTTTTTTTCTTTTCCCACATTACTTTGAATACATCCAGCATTCCACATTTCCATCAATAATAAACTCGAAAACTTAAAAAAAACAAAGACTGTTTTTGGTTACAACCTTGATGTAGTTTCTTTAGTATCATTGGCTATGGTTGCATCAAATCTTGATATTGGAAAAATGAAAGACTCATTGAAGTAAACTGTGTCTTGTTTATATTAGTTTAATTATAAAAAAAGAGCCAGAAAATCATACTCTTTGCATTATACTAGGGCATATTTATGACTAAATAAATTGAAGTTTCCTGCAATCATGGTTGCTCGGTGTCATCGCTGCATTTGTTGAAGGGCTTAATGAAGAAAACTAGCAATATGGTTATGCTGTATTCTCGTTCGCTTATCCTCCTGTAGGTAGTTGGTTTCCATTGTGCAGGTTCAGGGATGTTGATGGTATATTTTTCTTCTTTATGCATGTCTTTTGTTTGAGACATGTCCAAATATCAATTGCTTTGAAGTCTTAGACTGTGGGTCACCAACATAATCAGGTGAGTGACACTTTGTAATTAAAAGAGCTCTCTCTCTTCATTCTTTTTTGGTGTATGTAACTCCTCCAAACAGTTTCTCCGCGTAGCTATCTCTTCCAACTATTAAGTTCTTCTGCGTGGCATTTACAATGTCAGTGGACTTGGTATTGATTCTCATTTTCCTTTAAGGATCTAAGTTCTTTGTAGAGCTTTTAAAATAATCTAGATCTTTGATTCCCTTGAACTCAATTTTTGTTACGCTAAAAGGTTATTTCTTTTTTATTTATCTTCTGGTGGGAATAGTCACTAGCTATTTGTAGGAGACACATTTGGTAGATAGCAACTCAGCATCTCATCCTTTCAGTTCATCTAAATCATAAATGGTATTGAATTGCAGGCACTTTTGGTCTCTTGAGCAACAGAAGAAGGATTTTCATTTTTTGAATCCTGTACCCAATCAAGATTCATTATATACGAACAAGCAATTGTGTGCTAGAAATCAGCTTTTCTGCTGGGAGAACAAATTATAGTGATTTCTAGAGATTTCATTATTTTTGCCGATGTCCCATAGAAGTCCTTGTTCGGAAGAAGTTACAATGACAACACGACCATCTTACTCCAACAGTGGAGAAAATTAATGTTGCACTTAGCCTGTGATGGCAGTTCATTCTCAGGATGTTATGGCCCTAGAAGTAGTCTATGTATAAAGGTGCATGTCACCAGGTACTCAGCATTTTAGGGCGCAGAATGAAATGATGAAACAAGGATATGGCTTTTAATGTAATTCATTTTATTGCTGTAAAGCACTTGCTGCGATGGTGATTATTCTCATTGTTATTCCATTTAGGTGCTCACTTTGACTTATAGGGGGAGAGCTCACCATTGTTTATCCAAAAGGATATATGATGCCTTCACAAACTCATGCCAGATTACTCCTTGCATCCTTCTTTTTTGGTACTGGAGGCGCCCTAAATTCTTGAAGCCATGATTGTGAATTTTGAAATTCAATCAAAGATTTTGCCATCTAAATCTTTTGTGCAGTTTGAATGAGAATATAGGATTTCATGCCGCTAGCTTTCCAAATCATCATTGTTACTTGACACTATGGAGCAGCTTTGTGCTTGTTTAATATTGAAATCTGTTGCCCCAACAATGATAATAAATTTCATTTTGGTGTTCCACTATGTGTTGGGTGTCACTTTTGAAGTATACACCACAATTCAGTGAATGGGTGGAAACTTACTCAAGATGTTGAGTTCCAACTAGAGGAACATGTTGGACCAACTATGGAGAGAAGTGGTGACTGTATATATTAATTAAAAGTACATGGCTGCCTTGAAGCTATTTAGTTGTTTGGTTTGAGAAGAGAGTTTTGATTGTTATGTTCTGAGAATTTCCCACTGGAATGCTGGAGTTGGTGTTGGTTGGTGGAGAGTTTTGATTGTTATGTTTTGAGAATTTCCCACTGGAATGCTGGAGTTGGTGGAAGGAGCAAAGACAGTATCACTCATCATACTTCAAATGTTGGCGAAAGTGAACAAAAGGCACATACTTGAAAGGCTGCAATGTGAAAGTTTCTCATTATATCATGGCTGGAGGACGTGGGAGAGTTTCAAGCGGATGAAACACTGTTTCCTCGCGTACAAGTCCCTCTATCACTCCATATCGTTAGTTCTCGAATGGTCATTGTCTCTCCTCTTTATTGGTCAAAACCAGTTGCCTTCAAATGATCAGTTTGCAAGTTGATGTTTCATTCCACACTCTTCCTAAAGTTGCTTTGTGAATCTGATTTTTTTCACCATGTGCTCGCATTCCGTTTTCAAACAGTTCATCAAATTGCTTCTGACAAGGAGTGAAACTTCTCTTAGAATTTACCTTGTTTGTAATTCTGAAAGACACTAGTTGAAGCTGTGTACATGATTTTATAGCTTTTAATCTTTGTATTTCATTTTACAATTTGGGCCTGGTGGGTTACAATCTTATTTGGAAGCCAGATTTCTTATCAATGGATGTAGGTCATTGACATTTTAAGCCAAGTTACTGAGTAATAGATATTAATTTCCTGGTGATCTGGTTTGGTATTAATTTCAAGTATGCCTCATTTCATGAATTAAGGGTGTAGATACTTTAATGGCAGAAGAAGTAATGGCAGAAGAAGGTTACTGTTTTAAAAGTTTGTTATAGAGGTGATACCTTCAATGAATGGCTTTGCCCTTTTACTTTTCCCTTTGAGTGATGTCATCTAACGATTGGCTTTCCCTGATGCCCTAAATAATGGCTTCTCCTCCTTACGGAATTGGTTTCCTCATCTCTCTTTTTCTTTTTCTTTTCCTTTTTTATGTATTTCCCTTTAACTGATATAATTGATGGGCCATATGACTGTTCTTTTCTCAGGGACAATGTTTTGCATGCAGTGCAGGGAAACTTAACATGTTGGTTTCCGGGGTTTTATATTGAGGTATTTTCTGTAGAAGGTGGTTGATATGGTTTATCATAATATCTCATTTACCAGATAAGTGTTGGAAGTATTTCCTATTGATGGTCTAGCTATAGTTATTTTGAACAGGTTCTTTATTAGATTTTCTAGGGAGATACAGTTGAGGGATACATGATATTTTTACTAGCTGTTGTCATATTTAGTCCAATCCATTTTGATGTTTTAGGAATTTGTGTCCAAATTGCACTTTTCAATGTATAGAAAGGGCAGGTTTTGAAGTTAGTTCAACAAGGATTGTCTCAATTGTTTTGGTTGGCTACATGAAATTGTGTGTTGCCATTAGCTTCAGTGAAACCACTTTATCGTATAGATTGTACTATCTCAGCCCATATTTATTTACAAGTTTGTCATATACACACACACACAAGGAAGCCTCTATGGGGACTTGCTACAGAATTGGTTACCTTATGAATAAAAACTTCACCTTAGAATGTTACCTTTGTTCAGTTGGTCTTCCTTCTCATTAGGAGTGGAATAATGTTTGTAATGCTGGAAGGTGTACTTTGTACATGATTTCATAGCTTTTAATCATTGTATGTCATTATACAACCCGAAGCCTGGTGGGTTACAATCTAATTCTGAAGCCTGATTTTCTATCAATGGATGTAGGTTATTGACGTTTTAATGCAAAGTTGCTGAGTAATAGAAATGAATTATATGGTGATCTGGTTTGGATTTAATTTCAAGTCTACATTCATAAATTAGTTTTGTAGATACGTTATAAATGGCTGAAGCTTGTCACAAGTAAAAGCTACTGTTCTAAGAGTTTGTTATGAGGTATGAAGGTCGTAACCCTTTTACTTTTCCTTTTCGGTGATGTCAATAGTCACAAGTATTGGCTTCTCGTTCTTACAGAGTTGTTTATCGTAGTATATCTTTTATATGAGGTACTCATCTCTTTTTTCTTTTCTTTTTTATGTATTCCCCTTTAACTGATATAATTGATGGGCCACATGACCATATTCGTTTCTCAGGGGCAATATTTTGCATGCAGTGCGGGGAAAATTGACATGTTGGTTACTAGGGTTTTATATTGAGGTATTTTCTGTAGGTGTTGATGTGGTTTATCATGCTATCTCATTTGCTGGACAAGTGTTGGAGGTATTTCCTTTATGATGTTTAGATGTAGTTAGTTTGAACAGGTTCTTTGTTGAATTTGTTTAGGGAGATACATTTGAGGGATCTATGGTATTTCTACCATCTCTGGTCACAATTGGTCTAATCAAGGATTGACTCAACTATTTGAGTTGGCTACATGAAATTATTTATCTCCATTAACTTCAGTTAAATCATACCTTATCATATATTGTACTATCTCAGTCCATATTAAATTATAAGTTCACTACACACGCGCACACACACAGGCAAACCTTTATGGGGACCGGGCCCAAAATTTTTGAAAAATTTCTTACGAAACAGATGCCTTATTTTTTTATGTTCCAAAATATGAAAAACATTTAATTTGTGGTCCCCTCGAAGTATATAAAGAGCACCAATGTAGACACCTTGTTACCTTACTTTTAGCCGCCCTCATTTTGAGAAAAGAGGCAGAGAAAACAGAATTATATTATGTTCAGTCATGTTATACCTTCAAGGGATTGTGATGTAATAATTTCTTGTATCTTCTTTCAGTATACCAAGGCTTCGATTCTGAATACTTAACTACCGAATATATATACTATTGTTTTATATTTTATTTTCATACTATAACTTTGATTATTTTTTTTAAATTAGTAATTCCCCTCACTTATTTTTTGATTTTTTATTTAAAAAACAAAAAACTATCTCAGCCCATACCTAGTCCAAGTATCTCTTATTCCTGGAGTCATTGTTGGTCTTTGTGCCATATGGCCAAACTATCTTAATCGATTTTCTCTTATTTTATCTTCAACTAGGTTCGGGATCCAACACTTTTTTTTTCTGTTACTACGATAAAATCTAATTACTGTCATCATCATTATAGTTGTTCTTGCCGCTGCTAGTGCCACGCCACAACTTTTGCAATAACTGAGGAGCATTTACATAATATAGAACAATATCATCATCTATAAGAGAACTTTGGGACAATGAGTCTTACCACATATATATATATATATGTATGTATATATTTGTTTTTAACCATAGCAAGTAATTCACACACCCACTTTATCCCTAACAGGACTTCCACCCTTGAACTTCCATCATAGAAGGTAGAGGAGATACCACTAGGCTACAACCCTTGTACTAAGTCTACCATATTGAGTTGTTCAAAACATGGCTTCATCCTTTGATTTTCCATGGCTAATCCTTTTTTTTTGGGGTAAATATCCATGGCTAATCCTTACTAATAGTTTGATGTAATAAGCATTTGACAGAATATCTTGTTTATTATTTGTTGTTTTGAAATGAAAAATAAAAAATAAAAAAACTCACCTCATCATGGATGCCTTGTTGTCTGTACTTCAAGTTTTGTATGAAGCAAAAATCTTCTTTGTGGTCGGTTATTATTAGGTCAGATCTATGCTAACATATTTTTTTTCTTTGAAAGACTCAAAACAAAAAATACCATTTCTATATAAAAGACTCAAAACCCAAAACAAAACACACACTCTCTCTTTGCTGCGGCGCTACCCCCTTTCTAACAACCATTGACTACAGATATAGAACAACAAAAATGGCACAGGGAGGAGTTTCGGGTGGCAAAATTTTTATCTGGACTTAAACCCGAACTCGCTCCGATCAGTTCGCAGATTTTGTCTAGCAAGGAGATACCCACAGCAAGTGAGACTTTTGCTTGAGTTCAAAGCGCATCTATTCATGCCCTTGTAATTGAGAAGACAACCACTCTACTCTTGTTGTTCCTAGCGACATGATACTTTCCGTGGAGGACGAGGGGGCAGAGGTCCTTCCAACCCAGGTCGGGGTACTCGTGGCAGTAGAGGGGGCCGCGACAGCGAGAAGTGTACTCATTGTGGCCGAAACAATCACTCTGTTGACTTATGTTGGGCTCTTCATGGCAAGCCAGCTTTGGCTGACCAAGCTTCGGTTTCGGAGGAGACTACTCTCACTCCTACGAATGAACAAGTCGTTCTCTCCAAAGCCGAATATGATTCTCTGGTAAAGCATGAGCGTACAAATCAACCCTCCTCCACCGCTACTATCATTACTTCAGGCAATACGTGTCTCCATGCTTCATCTTCTACACCTTAGATCATTGATTCATGGGCATCCGATCACATGGCAGGTAACCCATCTCTTCTTTATGATATTTCTCATGTTTTCTCACCATCGGTTGTTACTATAGCAAATGGTGTCAAATCACCTGTTCATGGAATTGGTACTTTCCGCACTTCGGGTTTCACTTTTTCATCAGTTTTATATATCCCTCAATTTTCATTCAATTTATTGTCAGTTCACAAAATCATATCAGATTTAAATTGCCCAGTTACTTTTTCTCCTTCCCGTTGTGTCTTTCAGGATCTCAAGACGAAGAAGACAATTGGTGGGGGGTTTGAGAAGGATGGTCTTTACTACTTCCAGCAAACTATTGGCCTGAAATCTCTACATTCCATCTCCTCTTCAGCTTACCAGTGGCATTGCCGCCTTGGACATCCCTCTTCAAATAGTTTTCGAGCCTTGGTCCCTTCTTTAGTTGATTTTTCTAACTTTAATTGTACTACTTGCGAACTTAGTAAACATCGTCGGGCTACTTTTAAGTCTCGTTTTGATAATAAAAGTTTAAAACCTTTTGAGTTAGTATATTTGGATGTTTGGTGACCAGCTCGTACTACTGCTTTATTTGGTGCTCGTTAGTTTGTGACATTTATTGATGATTATTCACGTTTAACTTGGGTTTATATTCTTAAAGATAGATATCAAGTATTCTTTGTTTTTCAATTCTTTTATGTTGAAATTCAAAATCAGTTTGATGCAAAATTACTTGTTCGTAGAACTGACAATGCCCTTGAATATAAACTTACGTTTTTCAAAAGTTTCTTCAGTCTAGGGGATTTATCCATAAAACATCTTGTGTTGATACCCCGCAACAAAATGGAGTTGCTGAACGGAAGAATGGCCCACTCCTAGCTATTGCTCGTGCTATGGCCTCAAACAGTCCCCTCGTGCATGGTTTGATAAGTTCAGTAAAGCAGTGGTAGCTCAGCCAAGCTGACCACTCTCTCTTTTTTAAGAAAACGAAATGTGGTATTGTGATTCTTGTGGTGTATGTAGATGATATTGTTATCACCGGCAGTGACAAAGATGGGATACAAGTTCTAATTCATCACTTGAGCTCTAGCTTCCTTATTAAGGATTTGGGCAAACTTCGGTATTTTCTAGGAATTGAGGTGGCTCGGTCAAAACATGGCATTAGTCTTTCTCAGCGGAAGTATAGTCTTGATCTCTTACAGGATACTGGATATCTTGGTTCGAAACTTGTAGCTACACCGATGGAGACTAATGTCAAACTTAAGGTGGATGATGGTGACCCACTCGATGATCTAGAGATGTATCGGAAACTTGTAGGTAAACTTATTTACCTCACAATCACTCGTCCAGATGTAGTCAGTGTTGTGGCCAGTTCATGACCAGTCCTCGGCTGCCTCTCATAGAACTTTGAAAACTCTTTTACAAGAACTTTGGATTTCAGTCCAGTACCCAATTCCTCTCAATTGTGACAATCAAGCAGCTATTCATATTGCTAGCAATCCAGTCTATACCATGAGGGGACTAAACACATTGAAGTAAATTGTCATTTCATTTGATCTAAAGTTGACTCGAATGAGATTTTTACACCTTTTGTTCCTTCTAGTAAACAGCTGGCATACATCTTCACTAAGGTGCTTCCCAAGAACTCTATTGATTTCATATGTAGCAAGCTGGGAGTTATTGACATTTACTCTCCAGCTTGAGGGGGAGTGTTGTACAATATTGTATGAGTTGTCACACATTGTACAATATTTTATAAGTTGTCACACGTGTACAGTTAATATTGTATGAGTTGTCACCTACCCCTCATTACCATATGTAGAATTACCATGTATAGGGTTTTCTTGTTCTCCACTCACCTACTCCCGTAGCTTCTCCTATATATAAACACCATTGTACTATTGTATTACTCAATAACATATACGTTTTCATATATTCTCTCTCTTTTTTTCTCTTACAACAGAGCCTAATCTTAGTATGATAGATAAAATCAATAGGGATGAGGTAGAGAACATATTGCGAAAAATGTGAAACGATAAAGCAGTAGGACCAGATAACATCCCTATAGAAGCATGGAAAACCTTAGGAAGAGTAGGAGTTGAATGGTTAACAATTTTTTAAATAAAATTTTAGAGGAAGGTGCAATGCCCAATGAGTGGAGGAAAAGCACTATAATACTAATCTAAAAAATAAGGGAGAAATGCAAAATTGTAACAACTATAGGGGAATTAAGTTAACGAGTCACACTATGAAGCCATTTAGTTATTATGACAACTAGTGGAGTGTTGTAGAAGCATAAAGATCTACACAGGGTTTTTATAGACTTGGAGAAGACATATGATAGAGTTCCAAGATACATGATTTGGTGGGCCCTATGTAGAGAACATATTTTTTTAAGAATCATAGAACTTATTCAAGATATGTACGAGGATTCTAGGACTAGATTTCATACTATTTGTGGCAAGACGGAATGATTTTCCCATAAGGGTAGGATTAACAATTTTTTTAATAAAATTTTAGAGGAAGGTGCAATGCCCAATGAGTGGAGGAAAAGCACTATAATACCAATCTAAAAAAATAAGGGAGATATACAAAATTGTAACAACTGTAGGGGAATTAAGTTAATGAGTCACACTGAAATTATTGGAATGGGTAATGGAACAAAGACCAAGGAAAGAATGCACAATGCCCTATGAAGCCATTTAGTTATTATGACAACTAGTGGAGTGTTCTAGACGCACGGTTTTTATAGACTTGGAGAAGGCATATGATAGAGTTCCAAGATACATGATTTGGTGGGCCCTACGTAGAGAACATATTTTTTTAAGAATCATAGAACTGATTCAAGATAT